CGCAGTCAAGGGCGGTGTGGTCTGTAGGTCTGGACGTGAGACGGAAGTCTCGTCCGTAGACGGGGCAGATGACACGTGCTGTTGACTGGGACGTGAGAATGAGGTCTCAGGTGCATCTAGCGTGGGATCCGAAGTAGATGTAGAAATCCCGCTAGAAGCTCTGATGGGTCTAACATTGGGTCTCGGCTTATCAGGTATAGCACTGTCATCGACGTGTGCTGGCTTGAGACGATCAATGCTGACTGTTTCGATGCGACCACGTCGATCAACCTTGAAGGTCTTTTCGTGACGAGAAATCACGTGAAAAGGTCCTTCGTAAGGCTGTTGTAGAGGTTTGCGTACCGAATCTACTCGTATGAAAACATGTGAACAGGTAGATAACTCGCGAGGGAGAGCGACCTGTCGATGTTGTATACGAGTCGACACCGGAGTCAGTGTTCGCATGAATGCAGACAGTCGTTGGACGTAGTCTGATTCGCCGAACTTAGTGCTGCTCCGTGGTGTGAAAAATTCCCCAGGCAGACGCAATGTCGTGCCATAAACAAGTTCAGCGGCGGAACATTGAATATCTGCCTTTAAACTCGTTCTGATACCCAGGAGAACGAGCGGTAAGGTTTCGTACCAATTGTCGTTTTCGTGTGCTCGAAGAGCACTTTTAAGTTGGCGATGAAACCGTTCAACTAAACCGTTTGATGCTGGATGGTAGGCGGTAGTGCGTATGCGTTCCGTACCAAGCAGTCGTGTTAATGAGGAGAATAATGCGGACTCAAATTGTTGTCCTCGGTCAGTTGTGACAGTCGAGGGACAACCGTACAGAGCTATCCATCGTTCTACGAAGCGGTGAGCAACTGTCTCCGCCGTAATAGACGTGATGGGAATAGCTTCGGGCCATCTTGTGAAACGATCAATGCACGTGAGTATGTGATCATACCCGTGCGATGGTGGTAATGGTCCTACAATGTCTATGTGAACGTGATCGAAGCGAGCATCAGGCGTAGCGAAAGTGCCAATAGGGGCAGCTACGTGCCTGTGCACTTTTGATCGTTGACATTGTAATCAATGCTTTACCCACATACGGACATCTTTATTCATGGACGGCCAGACGTATCGTGCAGCGATGAGGCGTAAAGTGGCTGCGATACCAGGATGAGATAAACCATGAAGGGCATCAAAGACGAGACGGCGATAAGCGGAGGGTACGATGGGTCGAGGGAGGCCCGTAAAAGTATCGCATAGGATAGTACCAGAGCTAGTAGCTAGGGGTACTTCCCGGCACTCAAGGGACGTAGACTGTTGTGCTTCCGTGCATGAAGTATCGTTTGCTTGGGCGGCGGCCATAGCAGGTAGATCGAGCACTGGCAAAGTAACTGCATTCAGTTGGATACGTGATAAGGCATCAGCAACACAGTTCGACTCGCCTTTGACATGACGAAGGTCTGTCGTGAACTGAGAGATATAGTCTAAATGTCTGCACTCTCGCGGTGAGTAGCGGTCAGACTTGGTATGCAGGGCATACGTTAAGGGCTTATGGTCGGTGAATAGGATGAAATTACGACCTTCTACAGCGTGCCGGAAATGTTTGATGGCGCAGTAGGCTGCTAGCAGTTCGCGACCAAAAGCGCTATATCTCGTCTCCGTGGGAGTGAGGCGTCGTGAGAAAAATTCGAGGGGCTGCCAACTACCGGAGATATTCTGTTGCATAACGGCTCCCATGGCGAAATCCGATGCATCAACCGCTATACTAAGCGTGGCTGATGGGTTAGGATGCACGAGAAGTGTGGCTTGAGCTAGGGCTGTTTTGATATCTGAAAATGCAGTACGTGCGGCGTCGTTCCATTCCAGTTTGCGTGGATTACCGCGAAGTAAATCGGTTAACGGTCGTAACTGTTCTGCCGCGTGCGAAATGAAGCGTCGGTAGAAGTTGACCAAACCGAGAAATGCCTTCAGTTCCTTGAGTGTGGACGGTACAGTGTACTCCATTATCGTACGTACTTTATCCTCACAAGGTAAAATACCCTCATGCTTAATAACATGACCTAAGAATTTTATTTCCTTCTTCCCGAGTTCACACTTGTCGGGGTTGACTATTATTCCATTATCCGAAAGGCGCTGGAATAGTAGCGTCAGATGTTGATAATGTTCATCTACGTTTGATGATGCGATTAGCAGGTCATCAATATAGACGTGAACAAAATCTAGGTCTCGTACAATGCTATCGATAAACCTTTGGAAAGTTTGAGCAGCATTCCGTAATCCAAATGGCATTCGTAGGAACTCAAATAAACCGAAAGGAGTCGTGATGGCAGTTTTCTCTATATCTTCAAGAGCGACTGGGATCTGATGATATGCTCGTACCAGATCGATCTTGGAAAAAATTGTCGTGCCCTTGAGTGATGCTGTGATGTCATGTATGTGGGGGATGGGATAGCTATCGAAACGTGTAGCTGTGTTTAACGCTCGGTAGTCTCCGCATGGTCTCCAACTAACCCCATTCTTTTTGCGAACCATGTGGAGAGGTGAGGCCCAAGGACTGTGAGAAGGACGAATAATACCAGTAGCTAGTAAATTGTCGAACTCACGTTTAGCGAAAGCTAATTTGTCCGGTGCCAGTCGGCGAGGTCTTGCCGTGACTGGTGGTCCGCGGGTGACTATGTGGTGTACCACACGATTGGTCACCAATGGAGTCTCCTCGAAAGGTTTAGTTAATTTGGGGAATTTCTGAAATAAAACGTGGAATAAATCGTCACGCGAATGAAATACACCTGTGATTCGGTACGCGTTTGTGTGGGCTTTAGAGCCCATAAAGTTGCTGTTCGACGAAATATCAATTAGCTGCAGCCTACGTGAATCGACTAGCAATTCATAGTGCTGTAGGAAATCGATACCGAGTATAGCTGTGGGAACATCGGCAATGATGAACGTCCACAGATACTGTCGTCGGTTGCTCAGGTTGACCGTAAGTTGTCGTGTACCATAGGTGGGAATGACTGAGCCATTCGCAGCGCGTAGTCGAAGCATAGTGGCTTGAGACTTACTGTTACCGATAGGTACGACAGAAACTTGGGCACCCGTATCCACAAGGTACCTAGCGTTGGTGCGATAATCGTGCACATAAAATAAACGGCCAACCTGAGGTGAAGTGCCGGCGAGTACGGCCGCATTTACTCGCCGGCTGAGAAGTTTCCCGCCTTGTATGAGCAGGGAGCTCGACAATGACGGGCACTGGCTCCGAAAGCACGGTGGAACCAGCACCAACCTGGACTCGCTTCCGAAACCGCCTTCTGGCGTGGCTTGGAAGATGCCCGCTTGGGGCGAGTCGTTACGGCTTTTCGAGATTGTGACCTGGGTCGGGGGACGTAGGGAGCTGGCACATTTGCGCGGTCTCGGAAACTGAGACGAGTATGGATACATCTGTCCCTGTCCCCATGAGCCGGAGGTCGTCTAGCATCGAGATCAACGTTAGAACGAGAAAAACTAGCAACAAAATGGTCGCCTTTGGTGTTAACTCGTGCCAGAATCTTATCTGCTATGAGGGCCACCTTGTTGAGCGGGGTGTCCTCGAGCAGAGCCGTAAGGGTTGGCTGGATACTGACTGGTAAGGCTTCGAACCACAACTCTTTGACTATCTCAGAGTCAGCTGTCATGTTTCCTGCAAGGGATTGCAGGCGCGTGAGGTGGTGGCTCGGCTTAGCATCACCCATAGGGTGACGTGCTAAAAGTGTCCTCAATCGTTCCTCTCTTGATGGGAGGAAATGTCGAAGGATGGCATCCTTAAGACGGTCATAAACGTTTGGAACGTTGGGATTGAGGACAACCTCACGGACAGCGGTTAGGTGATCCCCGGGCAAAGATTCCAAAGCGTAGGCGTATTTCTGCCTTTGATTGGTTATGCGGCGGATCTCAAATTGAGATTCCAGTGCCGCGAACCAGACTTCTGGATCATGGGGGATGAAAGGAACCGGTCGGAAACTGATAACCTGTATCTCGGAGTCTATCATATTTATGTTATTCTTTTCGTTATCTACCATATTAAGTTGCCAAAATATTATATATTGAAAAAAAAATCAATACGAATATATGCAACAGATGTGGATAGATAAATAGACTCACCAGATTGATCTGGTTTGGAGAATTGGCCAAGTTTGACTTGTGCTCGATGGATTGGGTTACCAGCTGTATTGCGTGTTCCAATAACGGCTCACCAGTTGTAGTGCGTGTTCCAATAACGGCTCACCAGTTGTAGTGCGTGTTCCAATAACGGCTCACCAGTTGTAGTGCGTGTTCCAATAACGGCTCACCAGTTGTAGTGCGTGTTCCAATAACGGCTCACCAGTTGTAGTGGATGTCGAGTCGTGGACGGACTATGATCACCACTACTATTCGATTACGCGTACAAATATGACTTGGTTCCCTTGATAGCCCGTAAACAGAAGGCTTTACTAGTCCAGATAAAGTATATTTATTGGCGATCTCGTGGTATCGAAATAATACCGAGACGTGCCAAAGAGTACAGGCGAACAGGCAGTGCGTGAGCAAGTTCGAACCAAACAAGGCGGAGAGCGAAAGCAGAAGTGAAACGGATACAGTTAAACAAATACAGTAAAACAATCTCTGGTACAATTGGTTACAATAATAATAATTGTTTCCGTTATTCCAATCGTGTTCTTATCGAGACTTGCCGGTCACTACAAGGTAATCATTGTAGCCACATTTGTTTCAATAAACCCTCTACCAACTTATATCGTCCGTCTAATTGCTTAATCACTCACTTAAACCACAAGATATACAAATCTACAAATAACTACCAAACTGACTGGAGTCGGTGGAGTCGAGTGGCTAGAATACCACCTACTGGACATTACCGAATACCTGGAGGAAGGAAATCAATCGCTTTATAAAAGCTGGTGATTAAGATTTTTGAGATATTGGATATTGGATATATTGGAAGTTTTTGACCACAAAGGTCAGGTGGGAATTTTGTTTGATTACCAAGCTTACTTATGATTGTTAGTCCGTGTTGTCGGATTATCAGAAGTTGCTGTGTGAGCAATCGAGGGACGTTTCATTCTCGCTTGGCCGCCTTGTACCCTTCATATATCAAAATACCTAACAACCACGCTCGGATAATTGTTACAAAGTCTAGAAAAATCAACCGTCCTTCTAGTTCATTTATTATTGACACGAAAGAAGCCAGGCAGCGTAATTCAGATTCATCAACAGTGAGTTCAGACCTGGATGAAATTTTAAAGGATCAAACACCATCAGCACAGCTTCGACTAGTAGATGCCTATCGTAGAGGTTTTCAATCGTCAACTGACAGTGGGAAGTCATCAAATAAAATGCAGATGTGGAGGACAATTATTATAAAGACTATTCTTTTTGGGGTGGTCTCTTGCTTCACCATAGTGTTTTTAAAAAAGACACTTGGTGGTAAGTTGTTCGTTGCTCACGATAACTGGAATTTCGGTCACTAGGTACGTTCCCGAAATTCTTGGACCAGAATATAGGGTCGTTTGCTGAAAACACTGACGTTAGCTTTAGTGACGTCCAAGGAGTAGTTCTCAGTTTTATTAACCAAAATTTTAGTGTGATGAGGTCAAAAAGGAACTCGTGGATGTCGTTGAATTTCTTAGAAACCCTGAAAAGTTCAATCAGATTGGAGCTAAACTCCCTAAAGGTGTTCTCCTTGTGGGTCCTCCTGGAGTTGGAAAAACCTTACTCGCTAAAGCCGTGTCTGGAGAAGCCCAAGTATGTTAAAACACAATGATTTTCAACATCTTGGACACCATTCTAAATGTTTTACGTTTTCACATTTATCTCTATATTCTTCTCTACAAATAAAAGTATAGTTTAGTGTGACTAAGATATCAGCTTACTTCCTATCCAAAACACTTGGCTGTACAGCTGGTTATATTATCACTTTGTGCCAACTTTGATTGGAAAATCATCAAACAGACGTATAAGTTTAGGGTACATTGACTGGGCGACCAGCTTCCGGAAATTTCGTCAATAATGATACCACATTCCAAATTTATCGTTTCTCAGGGTTTTTCAAATGCTCGTTAGATGGTAAAATTAGGAATAACACAGATGTAGCTAGGATAGTGTATTGTGCAGTCAGTTGAGACTTTGATTGTAAACAAGATAAGAACAAGTACTGTTATAGGGGTTTTATTTATCTAATGTAAGACATTTAAGCGCTGGATATTCGCTTTTCGTCCTCTCAATGTCGTATTTTATTTAATTTGTGTGTGGGCTGCGATACTGCCCGAGTGCCCTGACCGGAGCAGGTGGCTTATTTAGGAGGGCATACGGAGCCTTCAACCTAAAGGTCTAATCCACAAGGCAATGGAGCAACGTAAGGAGATGCAGTCCCATGGTAGCCGGTGACCAACAATTGGTTCATACGCCATTTGTCCCCTCAGGATACTGGAGCCCATGTGCACCATTGGTTTGGAATCAGGGTTTTCCAACTCCTCTAGGTGGACCCTCCATGTCCACCAGCCCGGTTAAAGCGCCGGACATTCGTTTTTCGTCATCTCGATATCGTAAACAACACCTGTGGCACGAGAAGGCAGTGAGTAGGACTTCCCCGACAGAGGCTATATACGCGTGGCCATGTGAGAGCATTTCAAGAGGGAGAGCGAACTCTCGGTAGTACCAAGGCATTTGGGGGAAAAAGTGACAATTACCACTGAATATACTATTCTAGCTTCAATCAAAATCCTAACTAATCACATTCATTTGATAACATTCATTCAATGTCGTAATCAATATCCTGCTGCGAGCAAGCATTGAGTAGGATTTCCCTGGCAGTGGCTATATGTGTGTGGTCATATGGAAGTATTCTGAGAGGGAGAACGGAATCTCCCTACCCTCGACCTTATCAGAGGGCTTTTGTGGCCCACCGTTCTTGTAGTAATCAAGTTCAGTAACCGTACGGAATACTGCAGGTCCGTGGGATACTTCGTGTTAGAAATATGTTCGACTTCCGAAGTAGACAGATAGATTGACAAAATTTATTTCCGGCTGAAAGCATGATTTTCATGCTTAACACACGAAAGTAACAAAACTCTGGGAAAATTAATAGTTCCTTGTGGATTCCTTTCATCAATTCTGAATTACAACTGAGTTATTATCTGACAGGAAAATTATCCTAAGTAATGGCCGAAAATTATGTCGAATGGTCTGAATTAGGTGCGATGACACTAACATACCGCTCCTCGCAATCTTAGACATGGTATTTTTCGATACCTGTCATTTTTTATTCCGTTCCGTTATATTCCATTTACTTTCACTACTGTAGTTGGTTCCATCACTTTGTTCTTGATGTTTCTTTGGTGAGTTCATATGAAGTGTGGAAACTTGAACAGATACACGTCTGTGCTAAGCCGTTTATTCTCCATGTATCTCTTCTTTGTTTGATTCTGCAAGCCAGATAATCACTAGTACATCGTTCTTTTACACTTAAAGTGGAGAGGGCGTAAGTAAGAATGGGTAATTTTTATTAATTACTTGAGATTTCTAAAATCTGAATTTATCTTTTATACAGGTCCCTTTCTTATATGCTTCTGGGAGTAGTTTCGACGAAGTCCTCGTTGGACTAGGAGCTTCTCGTATTCGACAACTTTTCACCACTGCCAAACAGAATTCACCATGTTTGGTATTTATTGATGAAATAGATTCTATCGGGGGAAATCGAACATTTTCTCCTCATCATCCCTTTGCGAATCAGACAATTAACCAGCTTCTCGCAGAAATGGATGGGTTCCAGTCGAAAGAAGGAATTATTGTTTTAGGTGCAACAAATCAAGCAGAAGTCTTAGACAAGGCTTTATTGAGACCTGGTCGTTTTGATGTCCAAATTCATGTATCACCACCAACTTATGAAGTTAGTAAATATTAAACCAGTTTGATACACCTATTTCCATGTTAATGTTGCTATCATTTGTACAGCATAAACTTCTACTCTTATGATAGAATATGGAGATGAAAATGGTCTAGTATGTATTGAGTGGTAAGCGATCATTATTACCAAATAAAATAACGAACACAAAAAGTTTCAACACAACAGCGTCATGACGTTTTATTCCTAAAAAGGCAGTTTCAAAACAGCGTCATTATGCATAAATAAAATACACCGCAATGTGACAAAATACCATCTGCGTAACAAACTTCAATAAACACTGATTATTGAGCAGCACAACTTCAATAATCACTTTAAAACAGGTTACTCTACCGATATACAATCTTTACCGTTAGATGAGCTAGTTTTAGTAACAATTTTCAATTTACATCAAATTGTGATAGGAAGAGATATGTTTTCATTCTAGGTTTCCATCATCAGTAATTATTAGTTTTGGAGAAAAGTTCTAATTTGACATTTCAGACAAATAATACTTTTGTTTTTGAGATTCTGGTTATAACTTGTTCATTAAGACGAATAAAAACTACATTGGTAAATTAATTTTGAATCGCTTCATCGGTTATTATCAATAGGTTACTGTGATCAAAATCGTTTAGGTTTACGATAGCCTAATGTATGAATAAGTAGGTGATTAGCTGCTTGTTCCACCATAGCAAACACCAATACTGTAGGTATCATTACCAAGTTTTGCTTTGATAATTTTGAATAAATTGAGCATTGGGTAGATTATTATAAATTTATTATTTATTTAAAACCCCAACATTGTTATCATCCATCCTTTTTTATTGTAGGGCAGAATAGCTCTTCTAAATCTTTACTTGAAAAAAGTAAAAACAGGCTCAAGTATTGATATAGAAAAGTTGGCCCATGGAACAGTTGGATACACTGGTGCGGATATACAAAATTTGGTTAATCAAGTAAGTTTTTCTGTGTTGATGGTGGTAACCCAAACACTATTTTATTGGGATTTAGAGTGCCTTCTATAAGCTTGTGTACCAGGTAAGAGAACATTTCACATGAATCTCTAAATCAAAGTGAAAGGAATGGGTTCTAACCTCTAATCTAGTAAGTGTAAACCACAAATTAAACTCTTGAGATACTCCTACTCTAAGTTTATTCCTATTTCCTCCAGATCGTCCCTGTTTATCAATGATGCTGCCTAGGTACGTAAAACTTTCCACCTCTCCCATAGCTCCATCAGCCGTGACTTGGTTGGTGCTCTGTGTTGTACTTCAAGATCTTGCTTTTTCCCTTGTGTATGTTGAGGCCTGTTATAGAGACTGCTGCTGCATGCTTATCTCACCAACAGGCATGAGATACTCCTAAATTAACCTGATGAACCAGGTATGCAGATTAGTTTGCGGTACTAGACCAGAAATTTTAAGATGCTGTAATTCAAGATGAGAATTTTGAAAGTGTTATGATGTCCGACATGAATGAAGCTTTAATTGTCTTTCTTGATAACATCAACACACACGTCAACTAACTGTACACTGTTTATAACACTTGAGAGCTACAGTGCTTTCGAGATCAATGTAAGCAAAGTAGGTTGAAACCTAATAATGGTAATCAGAACGCCTTCACCATTTCACTAATTCTGACTCATACTGATGAAACCAATTTAACATTTGGATGTAATTTCACATACTTTTTTGAAGATCAGTTTGTCTGTCAGTCAGTCAGTCATGTGCACACATGTGTATCGGTTCACGTCACCACACCACATCAGCACAGAAAGATCCCAGAATGGTATAAGCAGTTACAGAATCAGTAGTAGTAGAAACAAATAGGGATAGAAAATATATAGTTTAAGGAGAAAATATGGATTAATGCAGTAATAACTTACAAGATAATTTAGAAACTTATGATCTATGGGAAGACAGAGTGAATGCACCTAGGCCATTACGAATGATTCTGGGCCTATATCACTTTGCATAGTCTATAATTTGATATATAAACTGTTCACTTCAAAAAATGATATACTCATGTTCTATTCAGAGTTTCATTATCTTAACTTTTGTTGAATTCGTTTTCACTGTAACCTTTGAAGGACTTATCTATGGCTTTGAGATGTCCTACTAACTAGTCCTACTTTTTTTCATGATTTCAGTTTATTGCAATTTAATAACTATTTACAACTTTTTTCTACTGAGCCAACAACTGTTTTCCCCCTTTCGCTACATAAAATACATTTTGTACAAATCCAATTTATTTCAGGCTGCTATTGCTGCTGCACTACGTAATGATCCTTTTGTTGAAATGCATCATTTATGGGATGCTCGTGATCGATTAATAATGGGACCAGCTAAACGTCGTCCATTGGATGATCAAACTAATCGAGTGTCAGCATTTCATGAGGCTGGTCATGCTTTAGTAGCATTGCTGACTGCGGATAGTATACCATTACACAAAGTATGTAGGTTAATATTTTATTTGAATGTGATTAGTTTTTATCCTGCTTTGTTGTTATAGAGAAAACTCAACCTTTCACTAAAATCCTGAAGCGACCAACGTTAAACCACCATTGAAAACCTGGAAGCACTAAACGGACGTTGCAGCCAAGTGTGGGACTCAGCAGTGCGGGATCATGGTTACGCACTGCTGAGTCCCACACTTGGCTGCAACGTCCGTTCAGTGCTTCCAGGTTTTCAATGGTGGTTTAACGTTGGTCGCTTCAGGATTTCAGTTAAACTCAACAATCTCCACGACCCTACCCTAATTAAAATCAACCTTGTCCATTACACTATCTCAACCATTACACGACTAAGCTAAACACGATTATTATTATTATTATTATTATTATTATTATTATTATTATTATTGTTATTATTAGCTTTATTCAATATTATATTTTTGGTACAATATAGAATTCTCAGCACAAAGTATTTCAACATGTTTCCGTTTCTTACTTCGTCGATGCTGACGATAAGTATTCAGTGATCACCAGTTAGAAGTTAGCAGTCCAGTCAATCGACACTTAAATAATGTACATTCTTTTCGCTGCATATTGCCACCAACCACGATACTGCTGATTAGGCCTTTTGTAACCTTTACAGCGAAAGGTTATGCACTTTTCAGAAACGCACCTGAATAAGTTATGCGATTAATAGCCATAATAATGTATTGAAACAAACAAATTTAGATAAATTGTTGAAATATCTAGATAGTAGGAACAGGTAACCCAGGTATTTAAGCAAACCGCCAATGAGTAAATAAATACTTTGCGTTGATATCTGTATTAGGGAATATAAAGTGTATACACCTACACCATTGTGATCGATTCTGAGCCATGCCATCGATCTATGCTACGTTGAAGCAATACGCACAGGATGCACATATGTAAATCAAGATTAATCAAATTTCAGTCAAAAATATCAATAATGGGAAAATTTCAAATCATTTCAATCTAAATTAATCCTCATTTTCTGTGATGACCATACTATGCCTCTTCTATTTTATTTCTTCCCTGTATATTTTATACATATTGTATTTCATTTTTAATTTAGGTTACAATTATTCCTCGAGGTGAGGCAGGCGGTCTTACTAGTTTTCTACAAGAGAAAGACATAAGTTTTATGACTCGTGCACAATTATTAGCTCAATTAGATGTATTGATGGGTGGTCGAGTTGGTGAAGAATTAGTTTTTGGTGCAGACAAAGTTACCAATGGTGCAGCAGATGATTTTCGAGTAAGTAATTGTATGGATATCATTTCTGTTGAAATGAGGACCTTTTTATTTCAATTGTAAGTTCCCAATTTAAATTAATTTGACTGTCCAAAGCATCATCAAATGCATAATTGGAGAGTCCTAAGTTTCACTAAAACTTAATCTTAGGCAAAGATGGATAGTGGCTGGCAGAGGAATCCAGGACGCGCGTTTCGTTCTCCCTGGGACTCGTCAGTTGGATGTACTTGCATCTGAGTTGATGTTCACTCTGGAACTTGAACCCAGTACCTTTCGCTTCAAACGCCAACGCGTTATCCACTTAGCTACTGAGTCATGATAGCTAAGCTGAGTGGATAACGCGTTGGCGTTTGAAGCGAAAGGTATTGGGTTCGAGTCCCTGAGTGAACATCAACTCTGAGATGCAAGTGCATCCAGCTGTCGAGTCCCAGGGAGAACGAAACGCGCGTCCTGGACTTCTCTGCTAGCCACTATCCATCTTTGCCTATATTGCTTGTGAATTAAGGCTATATCGAGGCAATACGCACAGTATGCACATATGAAAATTAGAGACTGACCAGTTGCAGTCCTAACAAATCGATGGGAAGTTCCAAACAAACAATACCAAGCGAACTTTTAATCTTAGTTTTCATTGAAAATTTTAGAGATATTCTCATTGGGTTAACATTTCTAGCTTTAGTTCATTCATGACATTTCGCGATTTTCATCTGTTGTTATCGGTAATATCATGACCTGCTTCAGTCTGGGCACCTGGGCAGTATCACAGCCCTTACACAAATCGAATGAGATTTGTGAGGCGCATATGTATCTGGTGCTTCCTTGTACCAATATTTATGTGTTTAAATAAATAAATAAATAATATCATTGGACACCAACTTAGTGGTGTGAAAACTAGACGCTTTCTATGAACGGTGTAAGCTCTTGGTCTGATGCTCGCTAGGGTCATAAATGCATACTCCTTAGGAGTCCCATGGAAGAAGAGAAAAGTCTTTCATTATTTTTTGATAGTCAGTAATTTCTTAGCTTCAACCAGTCTGTCATGTTCACGTTCAGATTAGACTAACCCTACAAACTCTTTATACTATTAATAATTGTATGTTCACTAAGGAATAACTTCAATAGGGGATTACCGAAATTCTGGGAAGAAGGCATAATCAGTCCAGTTCAATCATGTAGGATTTAAGACATAAGAAGACGGTTGTGCAATGTAAATCAATTGAAGTTAGAAACATACGCCACTGGATGCTAACTCGACAACATAAATTTCAAACTCTCTCTGTAAGACCTTGTGGTGGTCAGTATTCAATATAATCCTCAAACTTCGTATACAGTTCGTCCTGATGAATGTCACTAGATAACGCCTCAACAGTGAAGTGTTGATTACGTTTCTTATTGCACCATGCACAGATCGCCAAAATTACGGGTGTACTAAGCAAGCATGAAAGAGTAGGGCCGAAAAGCAAGCGGGCAACTCAATGTGAACAGGATTAAAATGTACATATATATACATAGGGAAATAAATGAATGATCGAATCAATTAAGCGGTTAATAGTAAGGCTAACAGAATGAATATATTCGTAGGCAGTAAACAGTGTTCAAGCATACATATTCATACAAGTGCAATAATAATAAAGGTACAATGATATAGATAAGCTGTTATTGTACGAATGTCTCTGTTCGTTAAATAAGTTAACAAAAGGGCTTAACCAAATTAAATGTGAAAAAACTCAAATGTACATGACTGCCATAAAGGGGTTGTCCTAGTTTCACTTTCCAGTGGGATCATGGATACTCACTGCTCAGGAGTCCCATACTAGGCTAACACCTACCTTACCATAAGATTTCCATTCTGAAGTTTATTTCTACTTTGTAAATTTAATTACTTTCTTCCCTTATTCATTATCTGGTTGGATTGTCTCATCAAATTTGTTTTTTACCTTCAATAGAAAGCAACAATTTTAGCTCAAAATATGGTGAAACGCTTCGGTTTTTCAAGTAAAATTGGACCAAGAGTTATACCAGATACTCAGGATGAACAACTTGGTGAAGCTACACGTGACCTAATCGATAAGGAAGTTGACCAATTACTCAATGATTCTTTAACTCGTGTACGTACTTTACTATCTAGTCAAAGTAAACAACATAAACTTCTAGCTGAAGCATTACTTCATTTTGAAACATTGACCAAAGATGAAGTATTAGCAGTATTAGCTGGTAAAATGAAACCTCCAAAAACTCAATCAGTAACATCAAAATCAACAACTCTTCTACCACAGTTAGGTCCTTCAACATCACCTGAAATTCACGTATAACTGTTTCATTAATCATTGTACATCTTGTTGATTTTATTTCGTTTTTTTTGTCCATTCAAGGATACTTTACACACATATACACACACAAACCATTATTTTCCTGAAACTTGTCAGCTCATTATAAAAAAATTCTAAGTCTTCATTCAGTTCTCTTTTTTCTTTTCATTTTAATCGATGTATTTAGTTATTCTTCTATCATTTTCTAAATTTAATTTACTCCGTTATACTTTCACCCTTTAACTCCTTTCACTTCCCAGAGATAGAGAGCGAGAGAAAAAAGTATTCTAACTGTACCCAATGAAAGTTATATGTGCGTATATGTAATTATATTACGTTTTATGCTTTATAAATGGAACAAAAAAATGATATTTAACTGAAATGTAAATGTGTAATAAGTGATAAAGCCGTAATTTACTTGTTCACTTGATCGACATCTAACTTTATAGGCAATATAACCACGTATTGTGATTGTTCAAATTTGTTGAGCAACTGATGTTTAAAAAGATAACCTCATTACTTTTATAATCGTTGTGATATATAATTAAACAGGTTTTATGAATTGATGATCAAAGTCATTATATCTAATCATTGCTCACTTTAGATCGTTATGTTGATTATATACTAGATTGCTCGAAACCCTGAAAAGATTGACTCGTGGGGAGCAGGCTGGTTTTTGTTCCTGTTCAGAATGTATTGATCATTTCTCCACACTCCTCAAAATGTTGGAACACTGTCATCCTATAGCAGTCGAACAAACGTGTTTCTTGATAACAGGGCCGCTTTCAATTCACAACGAAATCATCCAGCTCAAAGAACAAAACTCCATCAAAATCATTCACCTGGGCTACAAATTTTCATCATCATAAGACGGTTCTGGCCAACTGTTACCTTCACTAATAATACCAAATATCCCATCTAAAATTCCTCTAAGACTGATTGATCCACATATAATAGTTTGCTTAAAATTCCTACAAGATAAATGGTGTTGTACCATCTCTAATCCTTATTAAATATTACTCCAAATGGGGTCTTGTGGAGATCGTAGTACTTAAACAGCTGAATTCATAAGTTAATCTAAGCTAGACCAATACTGGAAACCTGAAAGCACTGAATGGTCGTTCCGTCCTAGTATGGGACTCCTCAGCAGTGCGTATCCGCTAGGACAAAACAGCCGTCCTGTACTTCCAGGTTTTCAATAGTGGTCTAGATTAGATTGACTCATGAATCCAACTGTTAAAATTATTCAAATCATATGCTCACTAGTGACTGACTTCGAGAAATAAATCCTAGAGCTCTAGTGAGAAGCACTGACCAGTGGAGTTCAAACCACGTCTGTTGTGAGATATCAACTCACTGAAGACAATCGGTGAACGGTTACTCAACTTCGTGGATTGGTTAGAGTTAGACATTAACACCATCGGATGCCAGCTCAGTGGTCTAGTGACTAAGTGCTCTGGTGTGGGACCGGTAGGTCCTGGGTTCGAATCCCGTAAGGCGAGGTCGTAGATGCGCACTGCTGAGGAGTCCCATAATAGGACGAGTTGGCCGCCCAGTGCTTCCAGGTTTTCCACGGTGGTCTAGCTTCAATTGATCTACGCTTTCAACTGTGACAATGGACAAAAGTTAATCATTCCAATAATTTCTTCCATTTTATTTGATTAAATCATTCTATCCATCACGATATAAGTTGAGAAAAATAACCCATAGTAAAACAAAATGTTTTTGTTCATTCACATTTTTTTTTCATAAATAACTTTCAAGTATCATTTAAACAAGATCACTACGTTGATTTTTTATCTGTGAACAATCATCCATTGGATGGTGACTAATTTTGTTTAGTTTACAATGTTCAATAGTTTTATGATCAGCTGATTTTCTATCAGAAAAGAGTTGACTAGTTGCTTCATTTTCTACACTTTCAATCTTATCGGCATGATCTTGTTTAACTGTTTGACTCCTGGTTTCATTTGTGAATGTTAAATTTTTTAAATTTGGCATCTTATCATTTTTGATAATGTTCATTGAAGGTGTCTTTGTTTCAATGGATAATTGAGATGGTGGTTGTTTTAATTTTGACTGCTGAAATTGTTTCTCAACTGTGTTTTGATCAGTGTTGTTAGTTATCGTTTCTTCACAAACTACAGTACTTGTACATGGAATAAAATTAGGATTTAATTGTTGACTCGTCTGAAATATTATAAAAAAAACGATGCGTAAATTGTTTGGAACTAAAAATAATGCAGTGTAAAACAAGTCTTCACATAGAGATCATTCATTAAAGGTAACATTGAAAGGTGAAACGCGATAGGGCTCATAAATTGACAGCCTCAGAATTACTAGCCTCAACATCATTTTGGTTAGGGAACAAAGTGTTGAGAAAAGTTACTCGGTGATTCAACTAAACCCAATATCTGGTTACTTAGTCCACACACGTACTTCTAAATTCATTATTCACACATCCAGGCAACTAAGTTTAAGAAGGTTCTCCAACTAATCTGAACCTGTAGAAAAATCAACATTGAATCAAACATTTAACCATAATCTTGATAGGAACTATATGTTAACTAGTGACTAGCTTCAAGTTGGAATTCTCGTGGAGAATAATAATTTCTGAGGTCAATTATGTTGGGTATATGTTAGCTGAATATAGATTGAATTATTACATGCTGACTGCCTACTTCTTATCCAATCAGCGCTAGCGAGTACTTAGAGAAGACTTTAGAATCTTATGTAAAAACTATAAATATACTAATGTTTCTCTTATTAGGACTCCTACTTCTATCCAACCATTTTATTTGGAATATAATTAAGTTCCTGATCATCCGTGTTGCGATTTGGGGACTTGTCGAGTGAAAAGGTGTCTAAGAATACTAAGTAATAGGAGCAGCTGGATCGTGATAAGAGAAAATATAACAGTATGAGAGAGTCATCACCTGCTCTTTGACTTTTCGTGATCCTCCATTTGGTTCTATTCCAAGATGAATTAATAATATCAATGATGAGTTTTTAATTAGAAAGTTCGTTACTTCGATTTACACTACACTAATCACGTTTGACATAATACATATCAAATTATTTACTCCACTCAGCAATACCCGTTTATAAAAGTACAATATTGTAAAAATCCAGAACCAATATCATCTAGAGTATTGAATAACTGCTTCAAAATAATCTGAGATTTTTCATTATTTTTAGTCTTCAGACATAAACACATGGGTGAATCTCAACCCATGATGAATTCTGACAGAAGATAAGCGATTTCAATTTGATATGTTTATTTCAAAATACAATAGAATTTTGAGACTAACTTACTACATCAGATACTGAAGTTTCTTGGTCTAAAACTGTAGTTGATTTTCTTTGCTTTTTCTCATCTAAATCAATTGATGAATTTATTGAAGTCTTGTTCACGATTACTTCTTCATTTTCAAAAGCTGGATTATCTACTGGACCAATTATACCACCAATACTAGTACTACTAGGTAATAAAGTTTTGTCAAAATCACTTTTATTAATTCCAGTAGAAGTTGTGATTTTTCTATGAACTGGCTGTTTTATATCACTAAACAATGGTTTCGATTGTGTCGACTTGTTTTCATTAATACTAATATTTGCTCGTTTTATTGATTCTTTAGATTTCTTACCACGTACCATTTCTTGTATTTCTGAAAGTTGATAAACTTCTCGGCCACGTCTTAGTTTGGACACTACAGATTTTTGGAAAAAAAAACAGTACAATTCGTGAGACAACAGTTCTCAGTTTTCACAAGGGGGGTTTTGTGGAGATTTTAGTAATTTTATATAGTTAAGATCACGAGTCAATTGAAGCTAGACCACCATGGAAAACTTGGAAGCACTGGACGACCGTTTCGTCCTATTGTGGGACTCCTCAACAGTGCGTATCCGGTTAAGTGCTCTGGCGCGAGGCTGGTAGGTCCTAGGTCTGAGTCCCTCGAGGCGAGGTCGTGGATGCGCACTGCTGAGGAGCTCCACAATAGTACGAGTTGGCCGTCCAGTGTTTCTCGGTTTTCCACGGTGGTCTAGTTTCAATTGACTCATGATCTCAACTATATAAAGTTCTCAGTTTTATCAAATAATCTTTACAAGTTTTAAAGTAATCAATGACCGAACAATAATCAATCTCATGTTGTCCAGGTTTCAGTAAAGAATGAATTCTATCAAAAGATTAGATCTCCATAACAAGGCTATAACATGGCATTATTATACATTGTTCTAGGTTTTGAAGAAGTTGGATAAAAACTCCACAAAACCATGGATCCAGATATTAGACTAGTCAGTTATTATCAGTAAAAACAACTCAAAATCTCAAGTGAACTGATACACCTGTCACTAACTGTGCTACTAGATGATGCTAGTCCTATCCTCCGATGAAAAACGTTATCAAAATTTCTTGGTGATGGGACCACATAAACTTTCAGAGCAGTCAGCCACATGGCCTCAACATTAGCCCATTAGAGCACGCATAAAACTATAAAATACTGGAATATTAATGCAACTTGCTAAGTGAACTCACATGCTTAAGGATAACCTAGTTCAATCTTTCTAACATACGCATTTCTTCCACATGAAAGTTTATCTTTCAACATTTAGACATTGTTCTTTTAAACTGCTCTTCACGCCTCATCGGCATATAAGTTACAAATGAGATCGATTTTTAAGTGAATCTTTTTAGAACAAAAGTCAAAGGACAATTTTTCTTAAAAATGAGTACATAGTTTCATTCCTGACAATTTGCCCAAATAGTTTTCTCATATAACTCCGTCTATAGCCCCTCCGAGGGCTACTGCCTATCTCAAGCCCGGATAAAGGAGGAGGGTTGGGCATAGGGTTAGTGACCCCATCCCATAGAAAAGTAACTCGCTAAAAAATCGCCAACCAGTAAGTAAGTCTTCTTATATATCAGTTCAACAAAACCATTTTAAAAATGACAGTCAAAAGAATCACATGTAGCACAAAATAAGTACAATGAGATTTTACAAATCCCTCCCACCGGCTGAAATCAATGTCTAAGGAATATTTCTAATTCTGCATCACTTAGTAACAAGTAAAGCTAACAATTTAAACGACTAAAACTATCAGATTCTTAAACTGAACGAAACACAATTTCCTAAGAGACAGTCAAAAAACGTTCTATTTGAAGAAGTCTGCAATAATGGAGAATTTCAAATAGTCAGTTGGTGCAATTCAACTGTTAAATATCAACAGTGTCATTGGGCAAACTTTGAATATGCATATGAATCATCATTAGTAGAAAATTCAGGTGCATTATGATGCATATTGGTCACCAAGGTTCAGATACATACATAGTGAATAATAGTGAGCAACCTGTTATTCAGGTACACACTAATTTAGGATCCATTCTCAGTGAAGACTTGAAAACTACTGCACACTCCCTTGCGATAACAAGTAAAAGTTTCAGATCCGTCTGGTTAATATGTAGAACCTTTAGCCACGTAGGTCTCAAGATCTTTACGACTTTGTACACAGTATTTATTTGTCCTAAACTTGAATATTGCACAGAAGTACCTATCTTATGCCTAAATGGACAGGGAACTGTTGGAAAAGGTTCAAAGAACCTCAATTGAGTTGATCTACTGAATCTCAAATCTACCGTCTGACAAGGGACTGGCCGATCTAAATATGGTTTTCTCGTAATAAAGAAGGACTAGAAGTTACTTCTTCATTCTATTTAAATTACTAAATAATGACTTCGTAGCTGATATAACCTCAATTTTCCTATATTTCAAAACAGAATTTACGAGAACACTAAAAATGTTCGCAAGCCCAGATCAAATTACTTGTCAACTGATTATTGAATTCCCCATTAGATCATCAACGAGTGGAACTTCTTACCTCAACGCATGGTTGAAACTCCATCAGTCTTTACATTCAAAATAAAGTTGGATTTTAGTGGCCCTATACTTGACTCCAGTTGAATCGTATGAATGATTGTTATTAAAATATCCATGTCGCTAATCCTCGCATAGAATTATTGACTTGAGTCAAGTTGGTGAATAACGGAATCAAAATAAGTCAAATACGAAAAGAGACTTCAAGTACGTACAGTTCATACAATCATTGTTCTAGACAGACGATAAAAGAAACGAAGCAAAGAGAAGAGAATGAAGCGAAACGAAATGATGTGCGGTAGAGAAGGCAAGTGAACCAAATTGATTTAACCAAGCGTGAATCGATATTTATAGTCAGGCAAAAATAAGTTACAGGCTTGTGAAGAGTAAGATAAGAAATGCACATACTACGCTTACACAAAAAACAGTCAAGTTGATAAGCGAATAATTAACAAGGTCAAAATATGACTCAAAAACAATGAATAAATCGATCTGTCCGGAAGCTAGAATAAGCTGTGTGGACTTGAAATAGCAATCGACGCTACAGGATCAACTGAGAGACCCTATATACAGGATTAAAACAGGGCACCTAGCCTCCTATTCTTCTCAAACTGAAGGTAAAACCAAACTGCGACCTTTGATTAATTGGAGTTAATATTATTGGTATTATAAAAAAACATAGATTCAGTTTGTCTTTCTATCAAAATACCTTTAATTATTTCTCAGTGGTTCAACTTTTATTCCTTTTGGTGACCATTACGAAAATGAACGTGACAGTAGTAAAAAAATCAGGCTTAAAACCTGAGATAAGAAAAGTTTAACTTACAAATAACCGTCGTTTTTGATCCCGCATAACTGTTCATGACCAGCTAGATTATAATTTATTATATTAGTTTAATTTGACCCCGTTGTAAATAAGAAGATATGTGTTTGATTAGCTGTTCAACTCTTTAAGTACAACAAGTTTATCTAACAAATTATTAACCATCGACATTTCACTATGTAGTCTGTTCAATAAACTTGAAAATAGAGGTCATAAAAACTTGATTCCATCTATTACATCTATTTTGAATAATGTTTTCTGGTTGGCTTTGTTTAGCGAGTTGGTTTTCTACGGGATGAGGTCGCTAACCCCATGCCCAACCTCCCTCCTTTACCCGGGCTTAGGACCGGCAGTAGCCCCCGGGGGAGCTACAGGCGGCAGCAGTAGGCCTCAATATAAATAAAGGGAAAAGCAAGACTCTCTGATACAATACAACATGAACCAATCGAAGTACACTTGACAGAGAAGCTTTAGAGGATGTGGAAACGTTTACATATCTGGGCAGCATCATTGACGAACACGGTGGATCAGATGCAAATGTGAGGGCGAGGATCGGCAAAGCAAGAGCAGCATATCTACAACTGAAGAGCATCTGGAACTCAAAACAATTGTCAAACAACACCAAGATCAGAATTTTCAATACAAATATCAAAACAGTTCTACTGTATGGAGCAGAGACGTGGAGAACTACAAAAGCCATCATCCAGAAGATACAAGTGTTTATTAACAGCTGTCTACGCAAGATACTTAGGATCCGATGGCCGGACACTATCAGCAACAAGTTACTGTGGGAGACAACAAACCAGAATCCAGCGGAGGAATAAATCAGGAAGAAGCGCTGGAAGTGGATTGGGCACACCTTGAAGAAATCACCTGATTGCGTCACAAGACAAGCCCTAACATGGAATCCTGAAGGTCAAAAGAGAAGAGGAAGACCAAAGAACACATTATGCCGAGAAATAGAGACAGACATGAGAAGAATGAACAAAAACTGGATAGAACTAGAAAAGAAGGCCCAGGACAGAGTGGGTTGGAGAATGCTGGCCGGCTACCTATGCTCCATTGGGAGTAACAGGCGTAAGTAAGTAAAGTAAGTAATTACATCTATTTTATTCCTTCCAAAATATTCATTATATGTGAAAACACACTCATACTATCTTCATTTTCATTGTTTGAAATATCATTGAAAAGCTATAGAAGTTTAACTATTCAACTACTTCGTTGCTTCCTGTTTTATTATTTCAGCATTGTCTCAGCACTAACACGTTAGAGCATTTTTCCATTTAGAACAGTATAATTGATCGATTGATTAGAAATGATTAATGCTTAAATACAATGTCATTAGTTGATTGTTCATTTATATCCGTAACTAACACCAACATTAGTTCAGTGTATGTTTTTTTTTTTAGTTCTCAGATTCTATCCTCTCTGTTGTAAAACATTAAAACCCTTACCTAAGGCTAAAAAAAAAAGAGTTTATAATAACTAAATCACTTAATAGATTTACCTGTTTTATGATAAGCTGGTATTTTCATTCCATTTGATTTAAGTATATCTAATAATTCATGTCGAAATGCGCTTATATCACCTTTAATTTCACTTAAATCATCTGCAGTAACAATATCATTTTCACTTGAACGTAATTTTTGCATAAGATAACGTTTAGTTAATTCATGCATTACATTTTGATAACGTGTTTCACATTCTTTAACTTGTTTTATACGTAACTATTAAATGAAGAAGAAAATAAACATTTAAATGTAAATAGATAAACCATTAGGTGTCAAATCAATGGTTTGAAAATTCTAATTACCCGTTATGAAACCTGAATGTTCTGAACTGGATCTAGGTATTGTCGTGGGTGTCTACTGCCAAATAGTTTCATAACAGTTGATATTCAGGGATTCCTGGTTATCTTTTGTTGTCTAAATAAAATCAATCAATGACGAAAACTGTGAAATTTAGAAAATCTGCTGTATGCATGATAAAATTGATGGCTGAATGAGAACAGAATGTTAGAGATATGGCAAGATTCAAATAAGAAGGTCAATCAATTGCAGTGCGAAATTCAAACGTTGATTATCCTTATTTTAGATTACAAATGACAAGAGATATCTCTAAAAAAAAGTTCAGTGTAGCCTACATATCAATCATTCACACTAAAATGTTACAATCATAAACAATGATTCAAATTTAATTATTTAAATGTGTCTCGCTTTTTCAGCAGGTAGCTTACAAGCGCTTAGTTCAAGGCCCATCCCATGAGTCCAGTTTTCTGTTAGCTTTCGGAGATCACTCTCGTAATTGTCTGGATCGCCTCTAAATGTATAAAATCATCATATAAAGTAATAATATTATTGTTCTGTAGTGACCTGCTTTTCCCGACGAGAACACGATTGGAATAATGGAGAAAATTATTATAGCCAATTGTACCAGTGATTGTTTTGTCGTACTCGTTGTTGTTTAACTGTATCAAAGTCACTTCTCGTTCCGCTATCCATCTTTTTGGTTCGAACTTTCTTGCGCTCTGCCCTTATTGACTGTACTCGTTGGCACGTCTCGGTATTATTTTGATACCACGAGATCGCCAATAAATATACTCTATCTGGACCAGTTACAGTCTTCTGGTTTGCGAGTTATCAAAGGGACCAAGTCGTTTCAGGGCGCGTGATCATAGTCAAACGCGACTCGACGACATCTACAGTTCTAACCACTTAAATATTCTTACTGACAAGAGCACTTGATAATACAATATTACCCGCTCCTCATTTGTATTTATCGCGGTACTTGTAGTAGATATTCAAAGCGTATTTACGATTTGCTTCAAATATTGCAGTTTCGAACTTTCTTATAACTGATCATTAATATCTCACTGTTCATTGTCCTTGATTTCTTCCTAACCTAATTCCCTTTTGTGTTATACACTGTTACTCACTAATATTAAGTAGCATTATTTTCACTCCGTTTTTGAACACGTTTTGTAATGTGAATTTCAGAAGCATCTACATGTATTTATGGTAATTAACATAGTTCATTATTCTAATATTATACCATAACATTTTACATTCATTTTATATGTTCACTGAACACCAACTTATTCGTAACAACTTTCATACATAGCCACTTGCTTGTGCAATGGGGTGAAGTTTAAATACATTTAGTATTGTTTGTTTGAATCTTCCCATTGATGTTTAGGAGTGCAACTGGTCAATCTCTTATTGGCATATGTGCATACTATGCGTATTGCCTTGATATAGCCTTAATTCACAAGCATGGTAAGCAAAGATGGATAGTGGATAGCAGTGGAATCTAGGTCGCACGTTTCGTCTTATTTGAGACTCGTCAGCTGGATGTACCTGCATCTCAGAGTTGATGTTCACTCTGGGACATCGTACATATGGCAATTAAAGACTGACCAGTTACAGTCCTAAACATCAATGGGAAGATTCAAACAAACAATACTAAATGAATTTCATACATAGTTCTCGTTGCAATTTGCTCTTTGCCATACTTGTAAATTATTAAGACATCAGTTTGTTGAAATTCAGTTACAAATTATCAATATTCAGGTAAAAAGGGTTTAAATGAACTGAGAACCGGTCAAGGTTGAAATGTTCTCACATCAGATTTCAAATTTTCTCACAATGAATACTTAGTCAATCCAACAGTAAAGCAGTTCTAAACATTGTTACAGAAAGATGTAATGCAACAAATATGAATGTAAATCTTCAATGAATAGTAATCGAAACGCCAAAATCCTCGGTAATTATATTTTCTTCATATTCACAAATTTAATGTGTAATCAGATGGTATCATAGTGCATCTGAGACATATTTATAGGTTTCATCAATAGAATTCGGAGAAGAAACAAGATCCTGTGTGTCACAGTTAACCACGATCGATAACAATGATCTAACTGATAATATTTAGGATAAACGCCTACCACTTAAAGCTCATTTCGACCGCATAACGGTTATTCTTTGATTAAATACCAACGGTTAAATCTTAAATTTTTTGAAGCATAACTAGCTTTCTGGTTGATTCATTTTTATCGTGTTTTTATTACTGTCCAGTATGTGTACGCCAATTACTCCATCTTCGTAATTGATTGTATTATTGTACGTTTTTTGACAGACTGTACTTAATTTATGTCTTAGTAGAGGATTATTAGTTGCTCATATATATGTATCCTTCATCCATTTTGATTATAGCTTTGCCAAAATTGTGCGTACGATAGTTTAGGCAAACGTTTATGAAATTTATCTGTGGACAAATTGAATTCCATAGTCATGTAGTTTGTCATTTACAAAATAAAACCCAAAAAGTACATTTACTTTGTATCCACCAGTATTTTTGAGCATATTTTTTCAGGAAACATAAGGTAGAAGTGAACATGTATGGAATATTTCATGGATGGGAAAATCACAATACGAGGAAAGCATCAAATTGTATGTTGATGCGTATGCTACAACAGTCAGGTGTAGTGGCAGCATGATATATTTAAGAAAACAATAAAAATCAGAAATGATGAAATATAAAACGCACTTGGCTGCTTTTTCCGGTCTATTGGTTAGCGAGTTAGGAAAAGGCGAATTCTCAGTCGGCTGTCGATCGACTAGACAAATATAACATTAGTTACTGCTTAGTGATAATCAACTACAAATATCCCGGTATTGCAAGAGATCAACCGCTGCCTAAATAGCTCAGTGGTAACGTCTCAGAACGTATATCCAGATGATGAGGATTTAAAGTTAGCAACGAAAGTTAGTTAACTCATAATTAGAGGTACGCCTTGGTGACGAGTCGCAACTATCACGAAACCTATGTCAAACAGAACTTCTTCACCGTGATACCAGTAGATTCTAAGTTTGTTGACTGTAGTGATCATGGGTTCACTTTGCTGAAGAGTTTCACATCATAACAAAATAGCAATCTCAACTGATATCCTTATCTTCAAGTATCAGCAACAGCCTTCTATGAGAGAAGACAAACCAGCTTCCAGCTTAAGAGGAATTTAGGAAAAAAACTTTGGAAGTGGATAGAACATACATTAAAGAAATCACCAATTTGTATTACAAGGCAATCTCTAACTTAGAATCCAGAAGAGAAGCAGAAAAGTGTAAGGCCAAAGAACACATTACGCTGGGAAATAGAAGCAGATATGAAAAAGGATGAATGGTAACTGGAAAAAAAAAACTAGAAAGGATTGCCTAGGATATAGTTGGATGGAGAATGCTGGTATTTGGCATATGATCCTCCACGAGAGGTAACAGGCGTAAGTAAGTAAGTAAGTAAGTAACTAAGTAAATAACATTTTGTTACATAAAGTTTGTTTATATAAAATTAGATTTTATCAAAAATGAATATAAACTTACTCGAATTGTTTCCCAATCATTACGATGTAATTGTTTCTTATTAGAACAATTTAAAAATAAATTTTTAATTGTATTTAACATATACATAAATGTTTTTGGTGTAGGTATTATATTAAATGGTACTGGTACAGTACAACCTTCACCAAAATAACTAATCCATAATTTAGATCTAGCAAATTTCCATTCAATATCAACTTGACCCTATTATATTATAGAAATAATAAATACAGGAACATAATTTAATAAATTAATTATAAAGATTGAAGATAAATAATCAATAAAATTGGACTGATTATCAGAAGGGGGAGTTTTGTGGAGATTTTTTAGTAATTTTATATAGTTAAAATCATGAGTTAATTGAAACTAGACCAACATGGAAAATCTGGAAGTACTGGACGGTTGTTTTGTCCTAATGTAGGACTTCTCAGCAGTGCGCATATACGATCCCGCCTCGTGAGATTCGAACCCAAGACCTACCAATCTCGCGCCAGAGCACTTAACCGATAGACCACTGAGCTGACCACAATTCAACGGTATTAATGTCTAACTTCAACCGATCCATGAAATTGATCAACCATTTAACAATGTTATCAGTTAGTTGATATCTTCCAACAGACCTGGTTGAACTCCACTGATCACTGCTTCTCACTAGAACTCCAGGAAATACCTTATGGAGCCAGTCACTAGTGTGTACATTATCATATATGTTTTTAGCTTACATCTATCACATACGTGGGTCATGGTTTTTTTTGCATTGCTCTTATTGTAACCTTTCATTTGATTTATGAACTGTTGTTATACCTTTTCCATTTCCTAACCTATTATTAATTACTCATGAAGTGATTAGTTTAGTCACACAAATGTCTGAAAGTTAGGCTTGTTTATCAGTTTACATAATATCCATCATATCACATCTCCCACGTAATGGTTTGAAATTGTTCCTTAATAATATTAATCGACACTCCTGTAGGTTTAATCACTTTACCTTGTAATCTTGTAACCTATGGAGTTTGTGCAATTACAGTGATATTGTAAAATCTGAACTTCTTTTCCATCTCTATATGAACATAGTATGAAGGTATAGCATCCACTATATGCCACTATTTCACCATTTCTGACTCAATACATCAAGGTTTTTTTTTGATGTAACTGGTATTGATACAGTTTTCCTGAAAGACTTGTCTTTAATAACTGTTGATATAAGTTATAGTATACAATAATAATCGAGAGTCCCACTGGCTAATGATGTCAACATTGAACAACTACTTGAGATAATGACAAGTCTTGAGAGAATTAAATATTTAATCATTATCCTATTACATCCATTATACACAAGTTTAGAATTCTCAGTGTAAAAGTTTGCACTGATATGTAGATATCCATCTAACCAGCCTTAACTAGGACGAAACGCGCTTTCTGATTCCTAACATAGCCACAATCCACCTATTTTATAAAATGTATCGAAAAACGGCTACATCCGCTCAGAGACTGATATATGTAATCCTGAATAGAAGTAACGGGAAATCACAAAACCCTACTGATTACTATTACATATTTTCAAGACACCGGTATAATGAGAACCAATTTAAAAACATTTATTGAAAAAAAAACCCACGGAACTTCACTAATGATCTTTTCATAACGAATTATTCAAATGATTGTTAAAAACCAACCAGAAAACAATTAGTTACATTTTGACCAATGTAGTTAAGTATTAAAACATGCATCTTATACAGGGATTGATGGAAAAAAAATGATCGTACTAAGTAGACTAGTGAGAAACATTAGTAATTGAAAATGAATAGCAGTTAATGAATTAAAACCACTTATAAAATATGTTTTTGGATGATCACAATTTATCTGTTTGTTTAAATGAAATCCGTCCCGGTACTAAGTGACAAGCACTGAGAATTGTTATGACAAAATTTATATTTTCAAGTCTTATGATCAGCTACAAATAGCCTAAATTTACGTTCGTGATAGTACTACAAAAATTCGAAGATCTTGTACTCGATTAAGTGTTGTTCAAACCGACTTTAGAAACAAGAATGAACGAATTAACTAGGTAAAGTTGATTAATATTTATATTTTGAAGATGAAGTTGTAGTGATCTACTTTTATGAAGAGAACGCAATTAGTGTGATGAAAATATTTATGATTATAACCAACTGTACCAGTGATTATTTTACTGTGCCTTTTAGTTTAATTGTACTAAAAACACACTTTTTCCATTGTTTGTGACCTTGAACTTACTCACGTACGGACGGTGGTTTCACCTGTAAACTTTGGCACGATCTCGATATTATTTCGATACTATGAGATCACCAACAAATATATCCTAACTACAATCTACAACTGTCCTTCTAATATTTATCCTACTGAGGGATTAAACCTAGTAATTGGCATGTAAGTGGTCTGTAGTAGTGATCATAGTCAACTGCGACTTGACATTTATACAAAGTAATTTAAAGATGGAGGTGAAGTTATAAATGATAATAAGGAGACGATGAATAAGAAATTGATAAGAAGCGGATGATAAACAAGGCACCAAAGTGACGAAAACTTAAAGTTAGAGTCGTAAGCGAATATTAGTGAGATTTTTTGTTTCAAATAAGGAAATATAGTAAAGACAGTGTAATTGCTAACCGATAAACGACTTAACTATCTTATCATAGTAACCAGAAGTTTATCACACTTTCTGTATATAAAGTTCGGGCCGGAAGCTCATGATTGTAATGACCTCTGCAAAGCGGAGTAAAAGGAATGTCCACTTCTTGTTAATTATCTGAAAAGTATTTGTGATATCTATGTTGTGTCCACTATCCATTAAAATGCTAGTAATCATAATTGTAAATAATTTACTTTCTCTCAAACCCAACTTACAGGGAATATAGGTGGAAAACCTTGTAGGTTCCCTCTTTTCAGTGCTTCCTATGTACTTGTTTCTACAAGTACATGTATATACATAAATAAATTTAAAGGTGATCTCAGAAAAGCGTTGATCTACTTTTTATTGATTCCAGAAACATATGGTGTTATACAATGAAAATAGTTGGACAACAGGGAAGCTTCTTTCTATCACTTCTTTAATCTTTTTGTTCGTTCTACTTGAAACCTCTTCCTTCATGTTAGTCTGCGAACCTTGTTTTTTTTTTCGTATTCACTTGGTGTTGTTTAATTTTATCTTCCCATTGTTATTTGGGACTACAATTGATCAGTCTCCGGTTGGTATATGTTCATCCTGTGCGGACTGCCTCGATATTGACTGAAGTCACAAGATTTATGAAAAAAGATAGATAGTGGTTAACAGTGGAATTCAGGACACAGGTTCCATCCTATTTGGGACACGTCAGCTGGATGTACCTATTCCTCAGAGTTTATTTATCACTGTGGGATTCGAACCCAGTACCTTTGATCAATTGTAGTCCTAAATAACAATGGGAAGATACAAGTAAACAACACCCCCCATATATATTATACATACAACGTGTAATTACAACTTACTACAATTTGTTCATATGAATTATTCATCATAGCGATCAGCATATTCAGTAAGACGATGAAAGCAATATATGAGTAGGTGCCAAATGTTAGTTTACCTGATTACATATTAAAAAAAAGCGGGATACATGATTTAGAGGGAATGATGGAGGTAAATGTTTTCGCCTCCTGCACTTGCGAACAAATTTCACAAAACGATTTATACTACTATAAGTAGACAAAAGTCTAGAGTTTTATTTATCAGCAAATGAATGTTATGGCAAGTGATAAAACCTTTTTGAAAATGTCTAAGATAGTTCACTCTGAGAATCTACATATTTTGACTGGTGTAGTAGAAATAATGTATCGCAATGACTAGTTTTTTAACAGTCACATAAGTAAAATAAAAACTAAGCGATCATTCAGTCTTAATCAGTATCCGTTTTGTGAAATCTATAGTATTGATCACGTTTCGCCGATCAAGTTACAATAAAGCCTATAGATCCAATGAATTAGTATTGACTTTAAATGGATTGAATCAATCAGCTTTGGCTATACATTTCGAAAAATCCAGCGTTCATTAACAGTTTGTATAACCCAGTGACTGAGACAATTGGTGACATGGATTTAAATTTCATAATCTGTATCACTCCCCCCAATGTTGCAGTTACGACTTGTTGACAAGTAATAACATGTAAAAATATAAGTCCTGAATTTCATATCGATGTATGTATATTTAGAGTTGATTGATCACTTAGTAGTGACCAATGTCATGTTTGCCTAGTTTGCCGAATTCTATAAATTAGATTATAATGTGACCACATCATTTCCACTATCTTGAGATGTTAGGCCAAGTTATTAGATATTATACCTCAAATTTAGGTATCATGCTAGATGTCACATTTTAACAAGATGTTTCTATAATCTTTTGAGAAATGATACTTTTTGAAAGAATCAACACTGTATCAATCAGAGATGGATAGTGGCTAGCAGTGGAATTCAGGACGCGCGTCTCGTCCTATTTGGGACTCGTCAGCTGGATGTACCTGCATCTCAGAGTTGATGTTCACTCAGGGACTCGAACCCAGTACCCTCGCTTCAAACGCCATCGCGTTATCCACTCGGCCACTGAGTCCTGATAGCCACTTGCTTGTGGGATGGGGTGAAGTTTAAATTCACTTGCTATTGTTTGTTTGAATCTTCCCATTGATGTTTAGGACTGTAACTGGTCAGTCTTTAATTGGCATATGTACGATGTCACAGAGTAAACATCAACTCTGAGATGCAAGTACATCCAGCTGACGAGTCCCAAATAGGACGAGACGCGTGTCCTGGATTCCACTGCTAGCCACTATCCATCTCTGCTAACCATGCTTGTGAATTAAGGCATATCGAGGCAATACGCACAGTATGCACTTATGCCAATTAGAGATTGACCAGTTGCAGTCCTAACAAAATCGATGGGAAGATTCAAACAAACAATACCAAGTGAATTTTACTGTATCAATCAGCTTCACAGTTATAGACGTTACCACTGAGCTTTCTGCATAACGACTGGCGTTCTGTAGAACTGATATTTATTTATAATTTATAAGATGAATCAAATAATCATTCTGTAGCCATTTTGTATTCATATAGTTATCGATTGGAAGAACCATTATTATTGTCTGTGATTAAATTTGGAAGGAATGTAATATAAGTGTCTGATTTTCAAAGTTATCGTCATTTTGCGAACAGTTTTGTTTCATACATAAAATATCATCCAGGAATTCTATATTGCAATTAATTTTCAAGTGACTTAACTGTCTTGAATCCATCATAAACAATGTCAGTAGTTCATACTAACATCAAGATATTTATTCTTTTTGTCAAAGTGGGTAATTACTTAGTTATCCAATATATTTAAATACTATTGGTAGGTCCTGGGTTCGAATGTCGCGAGTGCGGGATCGTGAATGCGCACTGCTTAGGAGTCCCATAATAGGACGAAACGGCCGTCTATTGCTTCCACGTTTCCGATGGTGGTCTATCTTCAATTGACTCATGATTCCAACTATGAAAAATACTGAAATCTCCACAAATCCCCTTCTGACTATTGTTTACACTTTTAAACATTCAACTGAAATCTGATTGGTCAGTTATTTATAATAACGTTTCATTTAGGGAACAATTATGTTTTATCTTTTCATTGTTCTATATAGTTGAAATCATGAATCAATTGGAGCTAGATCATGGAAAACCTGGAAGCACCGAACGGCCGTTTCGTCCTATTATGGGACTCCTCAACAGTGAGCATCCACTTATTTGGGTTTTATTCACTTCATCAACTGAATTAAACATATGAATGGTTTCTATAATATAGAAAAAATTGACTTTTATTTGAGTGTTACATTTGAATATTATTCACCACAGTGATTTAATAATACTGTAGTTACGATTGTAAAAAAGAAAACCCCAAAAGTTATGTTCACAAAACATCTTTGTCAGAATTACCTACAAACTCCGTAAATGCATGTGGATATTCCAAATTGAGACTTGTCAAATCAATCAAACCATAAGCGGACCAATACAGTGATTGAACAATTTCGAATAAGCTAGAAGGGGATTTTTCATTATTAAATATGAGCTACTTAATTAAAAAACAGTAGTTTTAACTTACATAAAAGAGATCCCACAATAAGACTTCAGTGGAATCTACTCCTAATATATCTTTATAAAATAATACAACCTACAAGGCTGCAATGATAAAAATGACCCATGATATTACCAAGATGACTAATATGAACGGATAGGAATTTTTATGGGGGGACCTTATCCTTCAAAATTGTAACTTTTAGGAGATAGAGGAGGGGCATAAACTCCATCAAGAATGGAATTATTTTCCATCAGTGTGTACCAACCTAACTTGATGGGATCTTGTGTATTGCATTCAGGAAACTTACATCAAATTTCATACGGTAAAATAATGTTTTTATCACAAGGCAAAGCTATCTGGTCGAAACAAAAAGTGTGAAATTTTGGCGTTTTAAGATATCATTAGTATAGGAACATGGATCATAGCAAAGGGACATGCAATCAAAATAGCGAAGCAAACAATGATAGGTTAAAAGTCAATTATAACAAATCATCATCGAGGTCGACAGAACAAACTGTGAGTCATATGAGGAGAAATTCGAACACTTCATTTCTAACTGAAGTTTATGCTAATGTTGTTTTTCAGAAGAACAATGAAAAGCTCCATGACCAAATCATCTATTTCAGAGAACAAAATAGCAATGATCGCAATCTTTCGTTGAAAATATTAGATAACATAATAAAAAAACGATTTCAGTGATATAGATTAATTTGTTTTCTTTTTTTTCTTTATCTGAGAGACTATAATTTATGGATAACTTTTGAACGAATTTCAAGCCATTCAGTAAGCAGTCAGTATGAGGTAAAAATATATCATACAAAACCAAAGAATTAAGGTGGATACACTTCTTTCGAATGGTCCAAAAACTTGTCAAGGTTAGAAAGAGGTTCAAAGGTTTTCAAATCGTAATGTATACTGTAGAGGAACTCATCTATATGGCTCCATAATGGTCGGTCTCTGCAGCCATGATAATGTCGAAAATCTCTTTCAGCCTCTACCACATAGCTTCAATATTGTTTGTGTGTATTCCAGTTATATACGCTTGTCATTTTTATTACGTATATATCCCTACAATACTCACAACACTGAATACTCAAGGCTTCAGTAGCATATGGAAATATTGTAGTCAATGTAACTGGTGCGTTTATTATACAGTTTGCGGTAATTATTATAATATGCCTTAATCTCAATCTGGACCGAGCAAAAAGATTCTTATTCTAGCAGACATCTTCCTCCAACATATATTACATCGAAGGACAACATCACGGTAGTCTGCACAAGGTCTATAAGTCATTTGATCACCTCAATTACAAATAAAAGAACTTCTCAGTGGTCCCATTAATTGTAACCGCTTAATTGTCACATCTCTAAAATCCTCTGTGAATTGATCGTCCATGAGCATCAGGTATTGAAATTAGAGCTATGACCTTGAAATTGCTCAAACGCTTCTGATTGGCTCGTCCATAAATTAAAGTCTCGCCTCATTTATTCAGTCTTTCAAAAAGTGTACTGAAGTGTACTTAAGTCGTCTACATTATTGTTTGCGGATGATGTTAAAATTTGGAGAACAATAAGTAATGAGACTGATCGTTGTTATCTGAAAGCTGATTTAGACAAATTAGTTAGATGGGCTAATGATTGGGGCTTGGAAGTTAATTCCAGGGAGAGCGTGTTCATGCATATCGGCACGATTTTAGTTACCACTATACCATTAATGGTACATCTCTTGCACGCGTTGCAGAGCATACAGACTTAGGAGTAACTATGAATCACGACTTGAAAACTACTACGCACTGCATTGCGGCTGATTCCAAAAGTTATCGTGCGCTATGGTCGCTTAGCAGAGCAATTAAATGCTTTGACGAGGATATGTTTCGAATTTTATATCCTACTTATGTAAGGCCATACTTAAAATACTGTATACAAGCAGCTAGCCCATGTCTGATAAAGGATACTAAATCACTTGAGCGTGTCCAGCGTGTGGGGACAAAATAAGTGAAGGTTTTTTTTAAACTCCCTTACGATGAGCGTTTAAAACGTCTAAACCTTTTCCCCTTATCTTATCGTAGGACACGAGTTGCACTTATACTGGTATTTTGTATCTTTAATTATGATTTGGGTGTTAATATGTTTTATCTTTTTGCTCCCTTCAGCACTAATAATTTCCGAAGTCATAGAAAGAAGCTTCAGAAACCGCGATCTAATAAACTAAAGGTGGGGTCCCGTTTTTCTCATCAAGTGGTCAATGATTGAAACACTTTACCAGAACAAGTGGTATCAGCATCATCATTGAACATTTTCAAGAAAAAGATGGACTTTCACTGAAAGGAAATCTATCAAGATTAACACAGGTTCATCAACCTACTATCCTTATTAATGAAGATTGAAGATTGAAACAAACTATAGGAAATTGAATTAAATGAATATCTATTTTTAAATTATATAAATACTTATCCAAATTATTACTTACTTAGTAAAATAAGTACCTCTTGTAATACAATAATCATATACATCTTTTTGTCCTTCTTCTAATGTAAAATGAACATTTTTACAATTTCTAGAACGATTTTTTGCATAAAACCAATATAATTGATTAAATCCAAATGCAAATGCAACCAATACCAAGAAATAAACACAAAAAAATTTAAATATATCATGTAACATACGACCTAATGATATTTGTAATGGACCAAGTTGTGGACTAACAGTAAATACATAAACTAATTTTAATGTTGATACTATATTAGCTGCAGCAAATAAACATTCTGATACAAGTACTGGATCAAATGAATCCCATTGACCACGATTAATATAACGTGGTTCATTATAGAATACAATCTATAAATGATAAATTTTAAAGTAAATTGAATGAAAGAATTAATTGGTGCATAAATCAATAAGGTATCATGAATAAAGTATCGAATAAAGTTTATTAACTATTAGGAAACATTTGATAAACATTACAAGATTATTCTTTCAATACTAAAGTATATCTCTAGTGTAACCATGTGGTATCGATAGCATTCAATCAGCACTAAGACGGACTTGACATGCATGACATTGATTGCCACCCAGTGATCAATCAATTGTGATTACATCTCAGTCTTATAGGAGGTCGGTCGTGGTTCGAATAGCTTAGTGGTAACGTCTCTGACTGTGAAGCTAAGTGACACGGGCTGGAATCCGTCATGGAGCTCCAGTTCCCTCAAGATTACAAGTACACCTTGCTGACGAGTGCCATGTAGCACGAAACCCGGGTCCAAGGTTTCTTGTTGACCACCTCCAACCACCATCTTATTATTGTAAAATACATTTGATTAACATAACAATGGTAACCGTCCCCGATCTCTTTCATAATTCAACGATATTTCATTGTATATGCTAACTGAATTTTCTATTTATGTATTCTTCAGTTCTTTCTTCTTCAAGATCTTCACATCCATGTTTCTTTGCATAATACAGTAATGATAGTGTACTTCTAGGCTAGACAATAATCTACAAACAACTGAATGTCATGTCTAAAAGTCTAATTCCTTAATTTAATGTTTAGTGATCAGTTGATGGATAGATATTTCCAAATAAAGAATGATAGGATTATAATTTATGAACGAATCAATCAGATGTAACATGGTGACCCTTGTATTTTGGTGAGAAATTCATTCACATTAGTGGTAGTCCGTTCAATACTTCAGTGACAAACATATACTTGTCGGACAACCATGAAATGAGTGTGACTATATGTGAAACAAAGTTTCAAAAAACCCTACTTACAGCCATATAAACCCTCTCGATGGAGATTGAAACATGGATGGATTTTTTCATCTGGCGTTTATTTATCTTACACCTAGTGAGTGAATTTTTGCAATGGAAAAATTTACTCTTCATGTCAACACTCCATCAAGTGTTATTCTCTTACTCTTGTAGCACAGATTATATAATAACCAAATACTTTTTCTTCGTTATCTCAAAAGCCGTTCTGAGTCGGCGCTATAACACAACTTAGCTGACCAGTAAATTACTATCATTATCATGGCTGTTATTACAATTATTAACTATACAGTTAGTCAGTTTATCAGTTACTGATCAAATCTGAAAAGCGAACTGACACCAGTCGACTGACAGTGACGTGCACACTCTAAGGCTTAACTAGCTAACTCATCGAGCCATCTCTGATTATAATCGTATTCATAACCTGATCGAAACAACTGCCTTTTCGCTTTGGATGGTTCTCTAATCAATCTAAGGGGTAAGGAAAGGTAAATTTATCTTCGAAACTATTGACAAGAGACACTATACTAACTTTTTCTTAAAAAAAATGAACAAGATTTAAGTAAACATAAAATAGAGCACACAATGATTAAGTAAAACGAAACATTACTCTAGCCCATGCAACTGTTCTCAATGATATAGTTGCTATGTAAAGTGCATTCATAACAAAATCTACAAGATTCCACATATCAGTTAAATATGCACGTAAACCCCATATATAAAGTTTTTTCATTTGTTGCCAAACAAAACCTGTAATTAGAAAATTGAACAGTGAAAAAGAACAGTTACGAAAAGTCAGTATAGAGATTTGACAAGTTTGTTTATTAAAATACTTCGGTTAATAAATACGAGGGTTTCGTTCCAGTAGTATGACTAGTCAGCTTAAATGTGCTTATATTATTGACAAGTTAGTTTTATTATTAATTACACAGTGAACAGAAATTTTTATTAGGGTGATTGAGTAATCTCGTTGACAATGTTATAGTTTATGGAGCTGGAGGTATTGTGTATTTATTTCCGGCTGGAGCAGTAATACATGCTGAAATTCGAGCATATTCCTTGAATGGAATAATTTGTGTGATTTTTCTCTTTCTAGATAATGTTTAATGCATCACGAGGCAAGCCTTAACTTGGAATCCGAAAGGGAATCTGAAAAGAGGAAGGCCAATGAACACATTACGCCGGGAAATAGAAGCAGATATGAAAAAGATGAATAACAACTGGAAAGAACTGGAAAGGATTGCCCAGGACAGGGTTGGATGGAGAATACTGGTGTGCGGACTATGCTCCTCCACGAGGGGTAACAGGTGTAAGTAAGTAAGTAAGATAATGTTTAAAAAATAAATTTTATAGTTTATTTCTTACCTATAACATAAATAACTAAAGCTGATTCTGTTAACGATGGTGTTGGTCCACGATCATGCATACGTTGATCAAGAGAATTTGTCAATAAGAACTCGACACGCGTAGCAGCCAATGTAAGTAGAGCTATTCAAGGTATATACATGAAGTATAAAAATATCAATGAATAAATATTATTTGTTGAGAATATAGTGAATAACAGTTAAAGTGAAAATATTACCCTATATACAAAATTGTTTCGGTCCAATGTTGATTTCCTGACTTATGGAGTATCAAACTTTTTCTATACTCCTATCTTCTTCCTTGATTTCGTGGTGTTACAAACAATTTTAGAAGTGTTGTTTATGCCAGTGGCCGTATTATCGAGTTTTTACTAGTTCACGTTCATATTCGAAGAATCTCAAACGTTCGAAATTAGAAGTCAATATAGTCCCATGTCTTAGACATGACAATCATCATATCTTTTAACCAGTATATTGTGTGACGGATTATAAAATTCCAAAAAGAAATAACAAAACTTTTTGAATAAGACAATCTCGTGAAAATGCGGTCGGATATTTGAAGTTATTCGAGAAAAAAACCTTTGACTTGGATTCGTTAATTCCTAGAACTAACCAACAAATTATATCTAAAACCTTGAAAAAACCAAATATACTCATCGAAAAGTGGGATTTAATGATGACTTCAAACATGAGAAATGCATGAAATATTATTTAATGAATAATTTATACAAACAGTCCAATCTATACACTAATCAGCCTTGGAATGAATCGTATATGGTAGACGTTTCCAACTCTCGGCACCTAACGACACTGGTCCAAGTATGTTCAAAGCTAAAGCTATGATTCATAACAAGTAAACAGAAATTAGTCAACAATAGGAATCAGAGAGCATTTCGTTAGTTATTAGTAAGGGATCAAATAATTTACAGATTAAAACAATGAAACTTTGAGTTCTAGTCAACTAGGTAAGAAAAGTAAAACACTGCATTATACTATCGTATAAACTTTCTCATTTGACTGCATTACACTCTTAGATTTCAATCTGTTCGTTACAATTCTAAACAGTGATCAATTAATTTCTGTTCATGTAGCCTTATTGACTAAGCGCAATAATGAAAGTAATTTTTATAATAAAAATAGTATCATGTGCCACAGTTAGAATGTATTCTGTTTCATTTGAGCTTTTACAAAATAAATACTTATTCAGACGTAGTGAAACAAGTATTATCAATTATAATAATATTCGAACTGATACAGAAAAATTTTATGAGGCTTAATTCTTAGACTGTGAAACTGGTTGATTCACCAGCGAGCATAAGCTTCCGCATGAAAAGCTAGGTCATTTGAGAAGTTCGAGTTGTCTAGTTGCATCCAACCTGTCAATTTCATTCCGTGCTCCCTTGCAGCCTTTTCCTCTGTCGCTACTAACTCTTCCATGTATTTCTGCTTTTCGGCTCTAATCCTCTTCTTTACTTGCCTGTTTGCTTCAGTGTGTTCACCTTGTGCATCGAATTTCTTTGTTCTTGTTCGGCTACTGTTAATCGATGTCTTCTTGTTCTTCATTTCTCGAATTTCGTTCAGGGTTTCCGTAGAGATGCATTCCTTATGATGATGCTTCTTGCGGCCCAAAATCTCTTAACAAGTTGAAGTTAGTGCTTCTTTGATCCCTTTCCAGTTGTCCTCCATCGTAGTTTCTTCTTCTTTCAATAGATCATGTAACGCCTGGAACTTATTGTTGAGAGTTATCTGGAATTGGTTTAGTTTGCTAGTATATCGAAGGAAGTCTATATTGAACTTTTTTTAATGCTATTTCCCCAGTTATCCAGTGTTTCTTTAGCTTTAGTTTCATCTTGGCCATAACCAGGTAGATGGTGATCTGTAGACATGCCAGATCCTCTTCTGGTTCTGATGTTCTCCATTGATTTTCTGAATATTCTAATGATGCAAAAAATGATTGATTTGCTTTTCTGTAGTGTGATCCTGTGAGATCCATGTAGTTTTTGTGAGATAATATAGTGATAGCACTTGACTCTGTTGACCGAGAGGTTCTGTAGCAGTGTCTGTCATTGAAAGGAGTACCTCAGAATTACATAAACCTTGTGAAGGCTCCTTACTCGAACACTACCAGTTAAGTCATATCTCACGGCGAACTATGATCTGATTCTACAACCTCAAATGGTGTCTGACAAGGTTGTCCACTATCTCCATTTTTGTTTAACTTCATCATAGACCCACTGCTGGAAATAACGTTCTCGGCGACTGGATTTTCGGGGATCGGTCTCATACCAGGGTATGGTAACTTGGACCAATGTATATATGTGCCTGCTCCTACGTTACAACTGAATGACTGACATTACTCTGGTAAAAAAAATCGTTCACACCTCTGTGTACCTAATTGAATTTCAAAACCGAAGTGCTTCTCTTCTGAAAAAAGAAGATCGAAATATGAACATGTCAATTTGTTTTGTAACATTCCTCTGGTATTGTTAACATCTCAATTACCATAAGGAATGAATGATCCATCTAGATGATAATTTTCCCTTTAATTTGAATTCCAGATCCAGTTTCTTGTTTTTTTAAAGACAGAAATCAATTGAAACCATTAGTACTACTTGCTATTAGAGCTTATGAATTCCACATCATAACTACTTTATTCATCACTTAGCAGTCAAATCAATTCTTTGAGTTTCAATACTCTAAGATATTTTCAGAAGCTTGTCGAAAATATGATTAACACGTCTTTCTATCAAATGACTGGGATTATCCCCCTGGAGTTAATTCACCCCGATAATATGTGAACAGATTGTCAACTAGATTAATATACAACTGAAGATATCAACTGTTCAACCACTTTAGTCAATCATTAATTTTCTGATCAAGAATGACCTCTAGCTTATTATTTGTTATTAATACACTTTCATAGTTGAAAGCGTGAGTCAATCGAAGCTAGACCACCAGGAAGAACCTAGAAGCACTGGACGGCTAACTCGTCCGTCCTATCGTGGGACTCAGCGGTGCGCATCCGCGACCTCGCCTCGCGAGATTCGCACCCAGGACCTACCAGCCTCGAGCCAGAGCACTTAACCGATAGACCACTGAACCGGCATCCAATGATGGTCTAGCTTTAATACACTAATTTTGTTTTTAAAATTTTTATAAAAAATTAAGTTTTAGATATTTTTAAACTTTCAATTCTTACCTAAAAATGATAAATATGAACTACTATGACATAAAAATTTTATAAATGGTTTTCTCATCATACTACCCAATTTTGAATGTGGTGCAAGCATATAAAATGTAGCTAATAATGGAAATAAAGAACATAATGTTCCAATAGTTGTTAATTGAGCAAATACTGGTTTTTGACGAAATCCAGGCAATCCTTCATACCAAATAGCAGCTAATAATTGTTGACAATGTGGATGAGCTACAAACTAAAATAAATTAATCAAATAATTTATTATTAGAATCATTCATTTTATTTCATAGTTGAAATCATGAATCAATTGAAGCTAGACCACCATCGGATACCGGCTCAGTGATCTATCGGTTAAGTGCTCTGGTTCGAGTCTGGTAGGTCCTGGGTTCGAATATCGCTAGGCGAGGTTGTGGATGAGCACTGCTGAGAAGTCCCACAATAGGACGAGTTGGCCATCCAGTGCTTCCAGGTTTTCGATGGTGGTCTAGCTTCAATTGACTCATGATCTCAACTCTATAAAATAATTAAAATCTCCATCAAACCCCTTCTGAAATTTGAATGTGTTAAGTACCCATGATTAGTACCATAATCAATTATTCAAACACGTAAATTCAATAACATGTCAGTATACAAGATATTCACGAGTTTTTAATGAATCTATTGTCTATTATTACACAGATTACACTCTCAACAAAAGCTTAAGATCAAATAATTATTAAAGGAAAATGGAATCACTTGGTAAATAATGGTGTGTGGACCTAAGCACCATATGAATATAAAACACTATCTTCGGTAATATGATCTTATTAAAGTATACATTAGAGTATTTGATTTAATCAGCAATAGTAATCCAATGTTTTAGTAATGGGCTTAATAGCCTTGATGGTTGATGTCCCTTTAAGTCTTTGTTTTTTTTTACTGGAAAACAATTCGTACAAGCCATGAAACGATGATCAATAGTTTGGTATTTAAACCCATCAAACAAAATGCTCAAGTTTGATCTATAGAGATATCGATGTAATATGAATAGATAAGCTTTATTATTATCCCACCCGATTCGTTATTCATCACATAGATCACCGTAGTTATTTTTATGAGTAAGATAGCAACATATTTGGAGTCAATGTGGTCACGCACACTCATGTGACATCATAATATATACAGCTTGAATCAACCACTGTATACAAAAAAATGGAACAACATAGGGTAGGGAGTTTCTAAGCATGTCTAGTACTACTATATGAGCGATGGAACCATGTCAACACTTTTGATCCTACTTATTACCCGAACACTTCTGTCTGACAGAGCCTAGAACATTCAGTAGCATAATAACTATGCTAAAATAAAGCACAGAAACCAGCTTTTTATCACGATTGATCCTTAATGTATTCTATCAGTTACGGAAAACATCTTTTGCTCGAGTTGCTTGAATGCTTTGAGAAAAACATGTGTAAACCCTAATGTAATATCACAAAAATAACTTGTCAATAACATCTGTGGCTGTGATGTTGAAAGACTTAACTTTGGCTATGCAAGATCATTGGGTTCATTTCCAACAAATATGAAACCTGTGTCGTAATTGTAATAATATTTAGTATTTACTATTCAAGACTAAATTATTACGACATGAATTAACAAGAAATGGTAAGTAGGTGGCAAGTGTGGAGGTAGAATCGCTGAACCTTCGCAAAGGGACAAATATCATGATTTCCTACTTCTTGTTATAACCAAGCTATTTGAGATAATATATACTACATCGTACTATTAATCAAGTATAATTTTGTTAGTTTCTAAGCTTCAAGACTGTAATATGACTACATATGATTAGTATTTTGTCTTCATATAACGCTTATCCCTACCACTTGCCATTTCAAGAACAGAAAGAAATTATAGGGAACTATGTCTGGTGAGTAAGTAGTGTGATCTAGACAGGTTATCCAAGAGCAACCCAGAAACTATCGGACAATCAATGACGAATATGACGGATAATTAGTAGTGATATTCATGTTAATAGGAAGATCTCAACGTTCATCGATCACCTACTGAGTAAATAAAGTCTACCAAGGTTGTCATAATTCAAGGCGGTGATTATTTGCCTAGTCATGTTAGTTAAAACAAATCAAACAAATGAAGAGTTTTTTCTCATATTCATACCTGTTTTTGTCCATATCTTATAGCTAATTTCAATCGTGATAATTGCATTTTTTCAATGATATCCTCTGATAAGGATTGATTTATTCCACTGACATGGCAACCTGATACATCAGCTCCAGTATAATGATTTAAAACAATAGACAATTCAGATGAACTACGAGTTTGTGCTAACATGTCAGTTGCAAATTTTTGACATTTCGCTTCCAATTCTTCATATTCTGTCTGTAAATAATTTTTTATAAAAAATAAATATTCGTTATTGAGCAGTATAACAATTAGAATAAGATTTTTGTTTCATTATGTTACATCTTCTACTTGATTACGACAGAATAAGCTATACAACTAACAGTACTCGAAAGTGTAGAACTCCGCTGTCGAAAATCAGAAGACGGAAGAGACAGGGGTACTGATTACTGGGTAAAAATCAAAAGTGTACAGAAAAACATGAGTATTTATAGTTATTAGTATCGGCCATAACATCATTACAATTCAGCCAATCCTCAAAAAGATAAGTTCTACTATCCTACAATGGTAGGATGCTACATTGATATTCTAAAAGGCCCTATCAAGTTCGGAATGGATAAAATCTTATCATCTCCTTTAGAGCCTCTGGAGGCTTTTTGAAGCCGTCACAAAAAATCCTGTTCTTGCTTCGAATTGTCACAACTTCAGTGAGTAAAGGTTAGTTGATATTATTGTTGTTAAATGAAAAGTTTTGGAATAAAATGGTAAATTTCTTTAATTTCACTAAAAAGACATCATACCTCGTGTTGTTCGGTCATTTATGTTGGTTAGTGATATTAAAAATTTAATTGATAGACTTTAGTCAGACCTGAATATTCAGTGAAACGATATTGATTTATAGCTCACTGATAGATTAGTCTCCCTAATTTTATGCAATAGTCACACACTTAACCATTCAATATGATTTGTATAGTCAACTGATTACTGGGTACTGAAAAACATAGTGTTTGTCCAGTCCTTTAGTGCTAATAAAATCCTTTCAGTCAAGTTGCAATATAACTCCAAATCAAAGTTGTTCGACACTATGTGCACTACGTAGTTCCCCAAACAACTTCGTGATAATTTTTGAGCTTGTGAAGCTGGGTTAAGTAGGCTTGAATCCGATAGGAAGCATTAGTTCCCTCAATGTTACAAGTACACCCTGGTGACAAGTGTCAATTAGAAAGAAACATAAGTTCAGGATATCCTACCAAAAAATTCTAGCTAACCGAAATCTCGACAGAATTTGATTTCATAAAATTCGTCTTGTTTTCAATTTATTAATGACTGAGATGTTTGTTCGCAGCATTAGCCGGATTTAGGATCTTCAGGAGCAGTGTAAAGACTAGTTTAATAATAATCTGTACCATATTCAAATGGAAAATATACATTCTTATCAGTCATCGGATAGTAAACATTATGACAGCTTTTTGCTTTACGTGATAATTCTCAGTACTCATTCAGTATTGAATGTCAAAGAGATGGAGTTGAGAAGTTGAGTCACTTATTCCAGTGACTATACTATAAACTTATGTGATGAATATACATTATCAGAGGGGTTTTTGTGGAGATTTAGTAAATTTCATAGTTTAAAGCGTGAGTCAATTGAAGCTAGACCACCATGGAAAACCTGGAAACACTGGGCGGCCGTTTCGTCCTATTGTGGGACTCCTCCTCTTTTATATTTCCGAATCAAGGAGATTTGTGATGAAATGTTCTAAAAGTGTCTTAATTCTATACTTCTGTATTTTGTATTGTCATCGAAAGTATTTGCATTAATTTTCTATACAAAACTTATGTGTTACAACGTGAATTCTGGTGAACATTTCACGGTACACTCGAATAAATTCTATAAACTAATGAACTCCACTGGTCACTGCTTCAAAACCACGTCTGTTGTGAGATAGGAACTAACTGAAGACAATTGGTGAATGGTTGTTCAAAATCGTGGATTAGTTGAAGTTAAACGTTAACGCCGTTGGATGCCAGCTCAGTGGTCTATCGGTTAAGGGCTTCGGCTCGAGACTGGTAGGTCCTGAGTTCGAATCTCGCGAGAGCGGGTTCAGGGATGAGCACTGCTGAGGAGTCTCACTATAGGGCGAAACGGCCGTTCAGTGTTTCCAGGTTTTCCATGGTGGTCTAGCTTCAATTGACTCACACTTTAAACAATGGAATATACATTAGTTTATAGAATTTATTCGAGTGTACCGTGAAATGTTCACCAGAATTCACGTTGTAACACATAAGTTTTGTATAGAAAATTAATGCAAATACTTTCGATGACAATACAAAATACAGAAGTATAGAATTAAGACACTTTTAGAACATTTCATCACAAATCTCCTTGATTCGGAAATATAAAAGACATTCAAATCAGTTTCATTTTACAAGGGACAGTCAAAAGTTTTTGTTGTTGCCTTTGTCTGCTTGTAATAATTTTCAATACCGAAATCAATAATTTCGGTCTATATAGTGATTTAAGTCATTAAAGTTATGGACATTTGATTTGGCATGAATACTTCGAATCTTAAGTGTTGTGAGTACAATGTGATTTCCTAACTGTTGAGGATGTCAAATCCCCAGAACTTACTTGGTAAATGGCCTAATTTTCTAATTTTATTTTGAAAATTTGAATTTCTATATTTTCGCGCCAAAAGCGCTCTTTTTTCACTTTTGAGTCGAATTTCCCCACTTCCAACTTAGACTTCTTACTCTAGTTAGCTGGGTCTGGGACGCGTCAGAATAGCTAGATTATCGGTCTCTGGTCACAAGTCCTTGTTCCGTTCACTAACTAGTGAATTCAAAACGCTTCAGATATAACAATTACTCTAAAAGTACTTAGTATTCCAAGCTAGAAATGTATAAAAATACGAGATTTGTAGTTTAGATCACAAAATGATTTTATTTAAGCAGCTTTTGTAAACCGAGAGTACTGGACAACTGTTTCATTCTAAAATTGAACTCTTTAAAAGTATGTCAATACACCATCATTAGATGTGGGACTTAGAACACACAGACCAAGTGGAAAGTGCTTACTTTTAGACTTTTAGGTTAGTCCTCGAAGGTTCACAGTTTTGATGAGAGACAGATATCCCTCATAATGAAAAATTATGATTAGGTAATGTTGGACATTGGATAAGAACTCAACAGTGGAAATGATATGTCTCTCCTTGTATCGATATGTAGTAAGGTCACGGATGCATGCCATTTTTAAAAATAAGGATGATGAACAGGCATTGTCGACCCTTGAGATGGTGGAGAGGATTTGTAGCTCAGGTGGATGATTTTGATGGAGTTTTGTTCTCTGACCTGGATGGTTTGGTCTTGGAGCTTTCATCGTCCTTCTGAATGACATCATCAGCACAAACTTCAGGTAATTTCTGCAGATGATGTCGTTCAGAAAGACGATGAAAGCTCCAAGACCAAACCATCCAGGTCAGAGAACAAAACTCCATCGAAAATTATCTACCCTTATTTCATCCTGTTTAAATCATGGACAAACTCTGAAGTGTGATTAACCTAATCATCAATTCATTGGAATTGGAATTTTATCCACTGTATAAACATAACTGAATAGTGAAAAGTGTAAGCCGAATAAAACAATGCATATGAGAAATGTAAAATAAAACCCAGTTGCTATTATGTGACAGTTTTTATTGATTGATACTAACTTACTTAAGCCTGTTACTAACATTGGAGCATAGGCCGTTTATTAATCACATTATTTATTAGACTGTCTATACAGTTTGTATTTCTTACAAATAAAACTCATATAGCTTAGGTTATCTAGTGCCCTACTGATATGTTCAATAAACTATTTTATGTCAAATATATATTCTGATTTATGAGACAAACACGTCAAGCCTTATAATTAAGCTACACAGTTAAGCCATTCAACTGTACTGAAGTAGGATAGTCATGATTCTAATCCAAATAACGTTTAGTTGTACTACAATGACTGGGATACAAGTGGTATATTGAAAATCCTCTATCATTTTGTTGAGATGTTTAGAAAATAGCTATATTACCGTAAAAAGTGGTGAGATATCTTTGATCTTGAAAGCGGACATTGGTATGAGCATTGTTTTCAAATATCTTAATAATATTGTCTCTTATTCATAGCGAAGTATGGTCATTTTTTACTGTGTAGGTCATACAAGCACGGTTTTTTGGTAGTAAAGCTAGCATACATAGAGTTAACCACAAGTGGTGATAGGATGTTTTATACTATTGTGGTTTGTTAAAATCTACATAAATAGGGAAAGCTACAATGTTATGATGTTAATGTATAGGATTGTAAAACAAATGATCCATATTATGTAACTGACGTATTACAAAGAACAGAAGACACTGCAGGTCGATTCCAGTGTCTGATTAACAAAAAATTAATTGGAACAATAAAAGTAAACTAGCGGCACATAACACAAATTCATATTGATCCATTGTCTTTCATTGGATTTACAGTGTATCTTGATGCTAAAAGCTTGTCGAAATACTTATATCACAGACTTGAAAGATAAATTTCAGTTTGCTCCAAGAATTACACACTTCTACTCCCATTATTATTATTATTATTATTATTATTATTATTATTATTATTATTATTACAATCCTACGATTGCTTAGTAAGCTATCGATTTATAGTAACTGAGTCCTATAAAATGTCAGGAAGAGATAGACCAACCCAGTAGTGGGGCTCCAGACAAAGATTTCAGGGAATAATGTCCAGGATATACCATAGATCACTATCAAAAGAGCAAAACATTTAAGTAACAGAAGAAAGTACTATGACCGTTATCAACTGTCCAATATCGAAATAAAGAGAAGAAATAAACATTTATTTACCTAGCTCTTTTTAAATTTACCCTTTTAAATAAATATCGGAGCGAAACGCTAACAGTATTTCTATCGTGTAACACAGTACTAAACTTCATAAGTGAAGTTAAAGTAAAAGACTAGTAACCAGAATGTAATGGGTTTAAATAAACCCATAACCATGGTTTTCTTTTACGTTAGGTAATCATACATAGAGACACTATTTTTTATAACAAATGTAATTCCATAAATATAATGAACAGAAATCACTGTTGCACTAGATTAAATTGTATTAGTTTCCAAGAGCTAACTTCAGTTATGTTTGTAAGGGTTTGATATTGAGGTTTGTAACTGATCAGCTTCTGTTGATAAATGAACATCTTGAGGATCTATTTCTATCTACATTGAATTATTATTGTCAAAAAAGCACTTAGCCTGCACTGAACTAACTCCGCCTGTAGCTCCTCCGTGGATTACTGCCGGTCCTAAGCATGGGTAAAGGAGGAGGGTTAAGCATGGGGTTAACGACCGCATCCCGTAGAAAACCAACTCGCTAAAAAAAACTCTAACCATAAAAAAAACTTACTCTAAATTCATTTTCAAGTTCACCCAATTTTTTCAATTCCCAACTTAATTCAAACGCCGTTAAAATTGGATCATTACTAGTTAAAATAATAAATGATGGACTTGTTAAAGCACGATATGTATTAATTCTTAATGTTGAATGTTGTAATCCATTTTCACGTCTTGCTTTTGTACATATATTACATGCACATCGTAAATCATGTGGTTTATATATACGATCACCACGATCAAGTAATAATTTTAATATTACATAATTATCACGATGTGCTGCTAAGATTATACCATTAATATCAGGTGTAAATGATGAGGATTGAAAACGTCCAAGTAATCCCTAAATATAGAGAAAAGTAAAGATAAAGAGTTTAGATTAGATGTTACTCAATGTGTTTGTGAATGAATCTGACCAAAAAAACGTGACGTTTAGATTTCAGAGATAAATTCACTCGATGTTTACTATAGATACTATAGATATTACTATAGAGACTGACCAGTTGCAGTCCTAAACATCAATGAGTAGATTCAAACAAACAATACTAAATGAATTTAAACTTCATCGCATTGCACAAGCAAGTGGCATCAGGAATCAGTAGCGGAGTGAGTAACGCGATGATGTATGAAGTGAAAGGTACTGGGTTCGAGTCTCAGACTGAACATCAACTCTGAGATGAAGGTACATGCAGCTGACAAGTCCCAAACAGGACGAAACGGCGTCCTGGATTCCACTGCTAGCCACTATCCATCTTTGCTAACTATGATTGCGAATTAAGGCTAAATCGAGGCAATACGCACAGTATGCAGATATGCCAATTAGAGACTGACCAGTTGTAGTCGTAAACATCAATGAGAAGATTCAAACTAACAATACTAAATGAATTACTATAGATTGTTTAATGAGTGATTTTGTAGCAAAGACTTGAAATGGTACAACTTCAATGAAGATTATTTTGTGCTCTATCAAAATGAAAACGATACTATATGAATTTCAACGGATGTGAAATGTCAATTGTATTATCAACAGTAATTAATTAGGCTGCTTGAACAAATTTGAATGTGGTTCTCATATTTTTAGCTATTATTGAGTGGATTCATACATAACGTGCAACGTACATGAAGTCAATCGGGGAAATATTTATGGTTATATAAAAGAGTTACGTGGAAATAGATCTGTATCTACATGCAAAAGGCTCCATATTGAACATCACTCAGTCAATTATATGTAACCTAGAGCCTAACACAAAAATGCATGCATCAAACACTTCCTTACTTACGCCTGTTAACCCTCGTGCAGAAACATAGGCCGCAAAACAGCATTCTCCATCCAACCCTGTCCTAGGCAATATTTCCCAGTTCTTTTCGGTTAACATTCATCCTTTTCATATCTACTTCTATTTTCCGACGTAATGTGTTCTTTGGCCTTCCTCTTTTCCGCTTCCCTTCCGGATTCCAAGTTAGGGGTTGAGTCGTGATGCAGTTTGGTAATTTCGTTAATTTATGTCCTATCCACTTCCAACGTCTTTTCCAAATTTTCTCTTCAGGTGGAAGCTGATTTGTCCTCTCCCACAGAAGGCTGTTGCTGATAGTATCCGGCCAGTGAATGTTGAATATTTTGCGTAGACAATTGTTTATAAAGACTTGTACCTTCTTGACGATGAATGTAGTAGTTCTCCAGGTTACAGCTCCGTACAATAGAACTGACTATCTTGACATTCGTATTAAAGATTCTCACTTTCAAGTTAGTTGAGAGTTGTTTTGAGTTCCATATGTTCTTCACTTGTATAAATGATGCCTTTGCTTTGCCAATCCTCGCCTTTACATCTGCATCCGATCCTCCTTGTTTATCAATGATGCTTCCCTGCATCAAACACATTTAAAATTATTTGTTTTAAATTTGTAGTAACCTTAACAAATGTCCAACATAATTTAAAATCGCTGTACAGGTTGTGTTTTGTTAATTTTTAGCCAGTAGAATTTTAATTCGATCCATCTATGAGCTTATCATCCATAAATGATATGGAATTCACAAAACATGCTTCCACATTACAGAACCATGAGTTAACTACACCAGAAGATATCAGATAAAAATATCTATGTCAAATTAAAAGTTAGTTTTATTTGAATACAACTGCGCCTGTAGCTCCTACGGGGGCTACTGCCAGTCGCAAGCCCGGATAAAGGAGGAGGGTTGGGCATGGAGTTAACGACCAATTCCCATAGAAAACCAACTCGCTAAAAAACGCTACCCAGAAAAGTTATTCAAACCATTTAAACTCTGCCCTTGGAGTTGAAGGAATAATTATGTTGCCTCATGATGAAAGCCGAGTTCCTTCGGAAGTCATGAGGTTGATGCAACTTTTAACAGTTATCTACTCAAAGTACTTCGAATCCGTTGGTCAGACACAATCAGCAACAATCTACTGTGGGAGAGAACAAACCAGATTTCAGTGGAGGAAGAAGCGCTGGAAGTGGATAAGACTCATAATGAGGAAATCACCCAACTGCGTCACAAGGCATGTCTTCACATGGAATCTGCAAGGCCAAAGGAGAAGCGGAAGACTAAAGAACACATTATGCCGAGAAATGGATACATACATGAGAAGAATGAACAAACATTGGATAGAACTAGAAAGGAAGTCCCAGGACAGAGTGGGTTGGAGAATGGTGGTCGGCGGTCTATGCACCATTAGGGTTAACAGGCGTAAGTAAGTAAGTATGTAAAATGTATGATCTCTAGTTATTTGATTTGGATATTTTTTCGTTGTATTCCAAATAAAAAGCTAAAAATATTGGATGTAAGTCCTCGCCTTAAGAAAATACAGGTAATCATTTTAGATTAACCATATATACAACGTATCACCTTCGCTAAAGTTCAGTATCTCTACAGATGGTCATCTATCTGATACAAAACCTATTGATCAATAAATTGATGAATCTTACATAGAGATAATGACATTAAGGTACATTTTGATTAGTTAATCTATCTTATTTTGTATGATTCTTTGTTTGAGTTAATTTATGCAAGAATAGAATAGATAAAGAAAAAAAAGAGGATTATGGAAATTTCTTCAAGTTTATCACTTAGTCATTTCTATCTTTTTTTTAAATTATGCTTATGGTCATTTTGCGTAAATGATTTTGATCACAATGCCATATGTACTATGATAACATATTACATTTATAATCAGAAGGGGTTTTATGGAGATTTAGTATTTTCATTAGTTGAAAGTATGAGTCAATTGAAGCTAGATCAGCAAGGAAAACCTGGAAGACACTAACATCATCGGATGTCGGCTCACTGGTCTATAGGTTAAATGCTCTGGTGCGAGACTTATAGGTCCTGAGTTTGAATCTCGCGAGTGCGGGATAGTGGATGCGCATTGCTGAGGAGTCTTATAATAGAACGAGTTGACCGTCCAGTGTTTCCACGTTTTCCTTGGTGGTCTAGCTTCAATTAACTCATGCTTTCAACCATGAAAATATTACATTTATATTAAAATATGGAGAAGATTAATATTAGGTTTATTTTAAGTAATGAATATCACGAGTATATCTTTGTTCTAGAAGTTGTAGTGCCATGCTTCGTTAATCGTTCACTTTGATAACCGTTATAATACAAATTTTAACGGTTAATGCAAATCAGAAGGAAAAGAGAAGCGACAACTATAGTCTATTAACAAATGAACCAGGCCAGAAAGTTACAAGCACATGAGTTAATATCAGAGAGCTGCGAGTGCAAATAATTGCATACGTAATTTACAGTCAAATTAAATATGGGCACAGTAAAACAAAACAAAAGCTGATAATAGGATTTGCGTCCATACATATTTAAGGAGAGGAGGTTGAGTCATCGAATGATAATTAAGCGATCAACATTTTGGCTAGAGTCTGTCATGTGCTCTAGTGGTCATAACAGTACAAAGAAATATGTAAATCGCTACTATCCAAATGACAATGTCTGTTAAGTAAGTGAATAAAAAGGCTCAAACCAAAATTAACCATCATAGAAATTGATTGTAGGATAGTTGCTATTATTGTCATATGAATACTTTTGAAAATGTTGATATGAGTAGGTCAATATTACGATTCAAGATACTTATATAAGTAGCCTTAATTTCAATGTCAATAAATCTAATTCCTGCTTACGAATTAAGGCTATATCGAGGCAATATGTGCAGTATGCATATATGCCAATAAGAGACTGATCAATTGCATTCTTAAACATCAATGGGAAGATTCAAACAAACAATACTAATTGAATTCAAACTTCATCCCTCATTGCACAATCAAGTAGCTATCAGGACTCAGTAGCAGAGTGGATAAAGTGATAGCGTTTGAATCGAAATGTACTGGCTTCGAGTCCCAAGGGTGAACCTCAACTCTGTGATACAAGTACATCCAGCTGACGAATCTCAAATAGGACAAAACGCTTGTCCTGGATTCCATTGCTAACCATTATTCATCTTTAATAAAATTACTAAAGAACCAAACAATACATCACAACAACAACAAAAAAATAAGGACAACTTACCTTTAAGTTTTTTTTACTTCCACGTTCTGTTTGTGCATGTAATATAATTTCTACTGCTATAACATTATCTTCATTAATAGCATGTAATATACAATCTTTTAAATCTAATTGTGGTAATGCTACAAGAAATTGTAATAATTCCATATGTTCATTTTCAATAGCAATACGTAATACATCACGTCCTAATGTATCAGTACAATTTAAATTTAATTTTAATTCATTAACTTGATCAGTTAATTGTTTAATTGTACCTAAATCACCTTGTTCAGCAGCATATAAAAATAAACGTTCTATATTACTTAATTCATTTTCAATAATTGGTAATTCTATATTGTTTAAATCAACATTTGTGTCAGGTTTGAATAGATGATTATTATTATTATCATTATCAGTAGTATTATGATTGATAGTAGTATTATAAGTAGTATTGTTCATACTATTATTTTCAATTTCATTTAAAATATCATGAATTGGACGTAATTCACATCCATTAGTATTTTTATTCTTTCTTAATTGAATTAATGATGTATTGAAAGGATGTTTATGTAATGATCTTGAATTCTTTGAATATTTACGCTTTTCAGTAAATACACTATGTCTATGGAATTGTTCTAAATTATTTGTACTCAATGAACGTTTCAATTTATATGAATCTATAATGAATGGATCCATTTGATGGTTTCTTTTAAATGAGTGATTTTGAAGTTTTAATGAAAGTGTAACTCATTTATTAGTTCATAAATTTAATTCAGTTTTGTATACTGGATTATATAGGCATAAGTTCAGCATGCATTTTTTGTAATCTCTAAGTGAACTGAAGATGAAAAAAAAATAAAAATGGATCTTTGATTAATGGTTAAAGGTTAATAGAAAATATGGAACCCATTATGTATATGTAAGGAAATTAGTTCTTTGTCTATGAATGTATTAAACTTATTATTATTATTATTATTGTTAATACTGTATATGATTTAAGGCACATTTATGTGTACTAATGAAACATTGGAATCAAAATAATCAGTGACTAAATCTATGCAAATATCTTTAATTCATTATGATTGGAGTATAGGATGTGATGTACTTTTTGTATTACATCTTTAGTTTAATTGGTTTATGTTATATGTGCATTTTGTATGATTATATACTATTAGTGTAGTTATAATTCATTATGGGTTTATAAATTTTCCAACAATCAGAGATGATCAAATTTTGAGATAAGATGGTAGTTCGAGGTGGTCAACAGGAAACCCTGGACCCGGGTTTCGTGCTACTTGGCACTCGTCAGCAAGGTGTACCTGTAATCCTGAAGGAACTGATGCCGCGTCACTCAGCTTCACAGTCAGAGACGTTACCACTGAGCTATTCGGGCCGCGACCAACCTCCTGTAGGACTGAGATGTAATCACAATATATACCTCAGTATATATAGTGCAAGCAGTGTCGAGCCACCTAGACTGGTGGCCACATTGCAACTCGATCGATAGCATTCGATCAGGACTAAGAAGGACCTGACATGCATGAGATTGATCACCACCCAGTGATCAATCAATTGTGATGATCAAATTCATTTAGTATTGTTTGTTTGAATCTTTCCATTGATATTTAAGACTGAAACTGGTCAGTCTCTAATTGACATATGTGTATACTGTGCGGATTGCCTCGATATTGCCTTAATTCATAAGAATTCTAAGCAAAGATGGATAGGGGTTAGCAGTGGAATCTAGGATGCGCATTTCGTCCTATTTGAGACTCGAAAGGTACTGGGTTCAAGTTCCGGAGTGAATATCAACTTTGCGATGCAGGTACATCCAGCTGATGAGTCTCAAATAGGACGAAACGCGCGTCTTGGATTCCACCGCTAGCCACTATTCATCTTTGTTTATAATAATAGATGATTGCTTCAAAGATATTCTCGATAAACTTGATCTAAGATGGTGAATTGAAAAACAATACCTTTTGTTAATACACGATTAAAATGTTTGGCACAACTAAATACCGGGAAATGGACTATACATAACGAAATGATAAGATTGTAAGGTCACAAGAGATGAGATTGTATAACTTGTATTGAGTAATAGGTTCCTTTCTATTAAAAGACTATTCGTATTGTTTGTTAACAGTGACACAGAAAGTCACTACAAGATTGTCAGTGATTTTTATGCTTAGTGACATCTCACATTTTCAGTTTTTTTAAATGAACAATCTCTACGAATCTATTTCAGAAATTTATGATGAATCGTCAGGTACTAATTGAATACAATAAGCCTTCATTCCGAGACGTCTATTTACTTAGTCCATTTTGAATGCTAGTGTAGTCAAGCCGTTGGCATGACACGTGTGTAAAATTGATCAGGTCAATAAAATCAATGTTTCAAGATGATGACACTTTTGAAGTTTCTATTTTTTTTTAAATGCCCTAACAGATTGTTTCAAACGTTATCACTGCTAACTAATAAGGTAGTGTTATCATATAGTAGATAACAATGATTAAAAACATGGAAGCCATAAATCTCCAGCTCACTTAAACCATAGATCACAGACGAAAAAGATCGTAATACCAGATTATATTAGCGTAAATAATTTCAATATAATGTTGTATAAGTTCTACAGAGTATGGATAAACCAAAAGGTGGCTAATATCCTAACATTGAATTAAAAATCATCATTGTGAAAATCAGAGCAACATGAATAGGTGAACAATATTGTTTTCGTTTCATTCTTCATCAGGTATTATCCTATTATACAGTAATATTTAATATTGACATATCAAAATATTAAACCAGTCATGGTAATTTCTCGATCTATGCTCCTTCACGAGGAGTAACAGCAGTAAGTAAACATTCTTATTGTCAATCGTATCATATAGACATGGTAATTTTTGAGTCAACCATCACAACGAGGTATATTACGTAACTTCATACATATATTAAAAGTACAAATTGTTAATAAGAAAACATATAGATTATTAGTGATTAGAATAATGAAATGATAAACGTTCTAATCAATGGTTTAATATAGGAAATAGGTCAAATATGGAATATATTTTATTGATTTAGTATTTACATAATATCCATATAAAGATATATATATCAATGTAATAAAGTTTGATAAAAACAATATGGATAGTTACTAGCAGTGGAATCCAGGATACGCGTTTCGTCCTTTTTACTCATAATGTTTGTGAATTAAGGCTATATCGAGGCAATACTCACAATATGCACATATACCGATGAGAGACTGATCAATTGTAGTCCTAAACATCAATAGGAAGATTTAACCAAACAATACTAAGTGAGTTTAATATTATTTATTGTTCCAATATTGAATTGGACAAACCCTAAGTTGGAATGCGGAAGGGAAGTGGAAAAGAGAAAGGCCAAAGAACACATTACACCGGGAAATAGAAGCAGATATCAAAAAGATGAATAACAACTGTAAAGAACTGGAAAGGATCGCCCAGGACAGAGTTGGATGGAGAATGCTGGTGAGCGGTCTATGCGTAAGTAAGTAAGCAATATTGAATTATGAAATATAAAGCAAAAAAACAGTGTTTCAATAATCGATTAAACTATTGAAATGTCTTAATTAAATATTTCTTCTCACATTGTCGAATTAATTTATAATACAGCCTTTCCTAACCTTCTATAGACATAGATTTTCCATAGAACTATATTTACGTGTTATATCCCGTGGTGATTTATGAATGGTACCTTTCGAGAACTATTTATGAACCAATATGATGCGTATATTTCATATTGTATAATTGTTCATTAACTTAACTATTCACATTCATCTTCCTTTTATTATGAGTTTTATTTTGACCTATAGACTATTATTATACGATTTACCATTCTTGAGTTATCCCTAGTTCATTAATTACTGTTCCCCCTATTCACAGCCACATTTGGCCAAATCTTGTACAAAGGTTAATTTCTATTTTATTGGTACGATGTGGTCAGTTTGTTTGGTATATAAACCCAATATGTTTGAGAATAATGACTCATATTGCAGAGGCTGTTATTAATGTTCTGGACTTAACTGACTGGGCTAGGCAGAAATCAGGACTGATAAGTACTCAAGACTGCTCGTACGGCCTTTGTGTATCATGGCTCTGATCGATAATTCACTCCACTCTGATTGGCGGGAATCATCACGTTATATATCAAATAGGGCGCGCTTATCACACGATGTAAAAATACGAATGTACAACTTAAGTAAACTATTTCATAGAAAAGAAAATTCTCTTTATTGAATTATTTATCTGACCCATAAATTATTTTCTTCATTACCTCTTGATTAGTACATAACCTCATTTGTTATTTATTGTCGAATCAATTTATAATACAATCTTTCCCAATTCTCATATTTTGTTAACCATAAATAAATGAATCTCGCGAGGCAGGATCGCGGATGCGCACTACTTAGGAGTCCCACAATAGGGTGAGTTGGTTGTCCAGTACTTCCAGGTTTTCCACGGTGGTGTAATTTCAATTAACTCATGATCTCAACTATTAAAAAATTACTATAATATCCACAAAAACCCCTTCTGATAGAAATCAACGTATGCTCACTAATGACTGGCTTTAAGAGGTATTTCCTGCAGTTCTAATGAGAAGTAGTGACAAGTGGAGTTCAAACAGGTCTGTTATGAGATAGTAACTCACTGAAGACAATGGTAGATGTGTTGCCCAAATTCGTGGACTGGTTGACATTAGACATCAATAACACCGTTAGATACTGACTCAGTGGTCTAGAGATTCGACGTTCGCGAGTGAGACCGATAGGCCCTGTATTCGAATCTCGTGAGGCAGGATCAGGAATGCCCACTACTAAGGAGTTCCACAATAGGACAAGTTGTCCGTCCAGTACTTTCAGGTTTTCCATGGTGGTCTAACGTCAAATTGACTCATGATCTGAACTCATAAAATGACTTTATAATATCCACAAAGAAATCCCTTCTGATATTAATTTAAATATAAAAACATCACAAGGAGTTTTTTGGAGATTTCAGTATTTTCATAGTTGAAATCATTAGTCAATTGAAGGTCCTGGGTTCGAATCTCGTGAGGTGGGATTGTGGATAAGCACCACTAAGGAGTCTCACAATAGGACAAATTGGCCATCCAGTACTTCCAGGTTTTCCATGGTGGTCTAACTTCAAATTGACTCATGGTCTCAACTATTAAAAATTTACTATAATATCCATAAAGAACCCCCCCTTCTGATATGAATTTAAATATTAAAAGAAAAAATCACTATTTAGAAGGGAATTTGTGGAGATTTCAGTATTTTCCAAAGTTGACATTAACACCATTGGATGCCAGCTCAGTGGTCTATCGGTTAAGGGCTTCGGCTCGAGACTGGTTGGTCCTGGGTTCGAATCTCGCTCGCGAGAGCGGGTTCGTGGATGCGCACTGCTAAGGTGTCCCATAATAGGACGAAACGGCCATTCAATGCTTCCAGGTTTTCGATGGTGGTCTAGCTTCAAATTGACTCATGGTCTCAACTTTGAAAAATCACTATGTTAAAACATTCATTACTCATAATGTTCTATTACAAAAAACAAAACAAATAAAGATCATATGATCATATAATATAATACCTGTTAACTATGACATGGATAATTAAGTAATGGTCATGACATGTGACTCATTATCCAACATCTTATCATTATCACTATTCTATTACCTTATTAGTTAAAGAAGAAGGGTTGGATACTTAGTTTTTAATGAAATGAGTCATAAAAGAAATTGATAGGATTTAATCAATCACGATTAATCAATCAATGAATGAGTCATTTTTATATTTTTCATAGTTGAAATTATGAGTCAATTGAAACTACTAGATCACTATGGAAAACCTGGAAGTACTGGATGGCTAATTCGTCCTATTATGGGACTCTTCAGCAATGCGCACCCACGTTCCCGCATTCGTGAGATTTGAACCCAGGACCTAACCAGTCTTGCGCCAGAGCATTTAACCGATAGACCATTAAGCCGGAATCTAACGGTGTTAATGTCTAACTTCAACTAATCTACGATGAAAATACTGAAATATCCACAAAAACCCCTTCTGATATATAAATATATTTGAATTTGGTC